TTTCTATTTTTAGACTCATATTCCCACACACATTTGTGGGTTTCTACACTTCTGGGCTAGACTCTGTTTTACTCTATATTCCAAGATGAAGTTAAACCACTATCCGCTAAACTGAACTGTAGCTTCTTCGCCTGCCCCAAATTCGACATTCGCCGTTAGTGTTTCTTTGCTGGAAATCCCATTATCGACCCCAGTGCCTACGCTTCTGACTCCTTGGCGATCAACTTTGTGGTCGAGAATGCCTCTCTGATTGGCTCAAAGTTTGGCGCGGAGAAAAATCTGGTTGGCTTGACGGCGAAAAACTTTCTGAAGACTGAGGGCGGCGACCTCGTCCAGTTGGCCGCTGTTCCATATGAGACGAGCGGGGAGACGAGGTTGAGAGGGTGGCCGAAGTTTATGTCAAAATTATGATTAACAGCTGGAGTTTGCGCGACACGGATCATTACATTCAAGTAAAGAATCTGTACATCTTAACTCGACGTGAATCAATTCTAATGTAAAATTTAATGAAATACAATGGTGACACAGCGCTTGACGAGTGGCAAGCTGTCATAAAAAAGTAAAAGTCAGTTTTTCATTAAACTGACGTTACATGTGGAGATGATGAATGCGGTACAAGAGTCACTGAAGAGTCTTTGATCAAGGAGAAGAAATAATGTTAGGAGAAGAAAAAAGGGGATGATGAAGTGTAAGTGGGATTGTATTTTCGGAAGTGAATTTGCTTTATTCATAAATACTGCACGAAGCATTTGACTTTCCCGTGTAAAACATGCTAACAATGTGCTTAAAATCGACTCTGAACCTTCAACTTACTAATGATCAATTGAAGAGTGGTATTCCTTTCTCTCAGCTGGTTTGTATTCGTGATTTTTTTTCACTATTTGTTAGATTATTTACTGCAAAGCCATGCACAAATTTTAGGTTATATTTCTTAACCCTCCTTCCCTCCGACCAAAAAAATATGAATGGTCGATCTATGAGTAAAGTAACGGATTGTGATGGTCATGTGCGTTAATGGTCCGTACAGGCCACATTTAGGCCACATAAACACTACAAAGTAAGAAAACACGACGGGCTAATTTTTAAGACGTGACTATAATATAAGCTAGGAGTCTCGATCATGAAGTTTTCCTTCTCAACAAACCACAAAGCAAAGAGAAACCATTAATTAGTGGTATTATGTTAAGTCTATCTCTGTTGACGTTCTATGAATATTATTTTTTTCTACTTCTGTAACCAGTTTTTTGCCCTTGCCCGCCTGATACATAGAAATGGATTTCTCCTATTGCATAAGCCAAGCGTGGGTCGCGTGTGGGCTTTTCCCTTTTAACCAATTAGAATACGACTATTTGATTACGCGACTGTTGATTGGTCCATATGTAAATATCGCAAAGGCGCGTGCAACCACATGTGACGATGTAAACATTGGCATTATAACCGGTTTGTTCGTCTTATTCCAAGGATAGCGAGGAATGTTCTTGCTTTTTTTGCTTCCCTTATCGCGACACTTTCAAAAATCTCCAGATTAAGATAGGAGGATGTTCGAGAAACTTAGTTCTCACTCTAACAACAAAGACGAGGCGTCAAAAAGTCTCTGGATCTTTGGTTATGGCTCTTTGATTTGGAAACCTGATTTTCCTTTCGAATATTGCGTAGTCGGTCACATCGAAGGATTTACCCGGAGATTTTGGCAGGGAAGCACTTGGCATCGCGGCGATACGAAGCAGGTAAAGTGTTTTCATCGACAATTCTTCCCCATGGTTTTGTAGTTGAAATCACTTGTCTTAAAATACGCGTTGTTTTTCTTTTGTAGCCAGGGCGAGTGGTCACTTTGGTTGAGGATAAACAGGTATGCTATGACTTCCAGTTGTTAAATCACGTATACAGGATGTCATCTTTTTTAAGGTTTTAAAACTCTATGTTATTTTCTCCACAAAAGTGACTAACTGAGTAGTTTTATTCTGAAGTCATAACGCAAGAAAAGCGAGCGTATTTTGCTGAACCGAGATCGGACGTACTTATTCTTCTGATCCTGTTGTCACACAGTGCTGAATTGAAACTACGGTACAGCCGTCACTGATCCCGTAACTGATCTCTCGGTGCTCCCGAGAGATAGTGTGTTCGACCCAAAATCAGGCGAACAAAAAAACCTTTATTAGTGTAGCAGAATTTCATGCTCACAAAGGTTAAGTGTTCCCTTATGTACCTTTTTACCATCGATGTCAGTCAGTTTCGTCAATCTTAAGTCTGAAAACTTTAAATACGTAGTTTGTGGGCAGGTTGCCGGGATCAAGGAGGTTTACACTTTATTTGAATACATTTATGTATCGTCCTTTTGGACTATCCTGCCACATGATCTATCTGCCATCGTGTGCCATTTTAAAACTGTACTTAGCTGTCGAATATATTTTTGGATAGACAAAAACAAGGTTTCTTTCTTACATTGCTTCTCGCGGTTACTACGCAGAATATGTTGAATGTTATTTTTGTTGCGAACAAGTTTCCGTACGTAACAAATCGAAATTTATTGTACTTTATACCTTAGTACGTTAGTTGTATCTAGCTCATAGTAAAAAAAAAACTTGTTTATCCTTAACATGCAGGAAATTGTAGTATTTACGCAGAAATAGTCCCTCACAACGCACATTTGTGTCATTTGCATTCAAAACCAATTAACTTTTAAAAGTGTTTTCCAGTCCAGATACCGCAATGACGAACTAATTTTAAAAGTACTGAGTACCATAGTCTATATAAAGTACTATGTACTTAAAGTGTACTTTAAAAAGCCGTTTATAGACTTAATATCCAGTGAAGCAGTGAAGTGAATTTCAAAGTCCTTAAATTGAGCTTGTCCACTGCGAATTGGGTTTGATTGTTGACATTTCAAGAAACGTCGCTTGGCGTTAATACCCTGGCATTAGAAGTCCAACACAAATTTAACAACACATTATCCCGTTCCAGTTGTGATGAAAAATTAATTATGTTTTTCTTTGAGACACACAACACCCTGTGTCAGTAAAACCCACAAGCAGTAGAAATCTGTAGCCCTTTTTGTTATGTTTGTTTTTCTTTCATCATTCATTGTCTTCACTGATCAAAAGCTAAGCTCCTACAGTACTTATATCTCGCACAAAAGCTCAATAATAGCCTAGCATTTTATCCTCATGAAGTACATCAATTAATATTTTTGTCTTTACCTTTTCTATTCTTTGCAGGGACAAGTTTGGGGCATGGCGTTTAAAGTAGCCAAAGAACATGTCGAACGCGCGATGGGAAACCTTCATGAACGCGAAATCGCGGTCGGTGGATATGAGCTCCGTCGTTTGCGCTTCAATTGTAACGAAAACCCTTCACATAGCTTCCATGTGTTGGCATACGCCGCTACGCCAAAAAATTCGCTGTACTTGGGGCCGGCTACAACGGAAGAACTCGCTGTTCAAATTGCATCTGCCAGGGGGCAGTGCGGACTTAATGTAGAGTATCTGGTTCGGCTGGCAGATTTTATGCGTGAAAAAGTGCCACATTATCACGAGGAACATTTATTTGAACTGGAGAAATTGGTCCGAAAAGAACTGGGTTTATCCACAGAGATTTCATCATCATGGACTCAGCTAAGGTGCGCGCTCGTATAGACCGAAACTCAAGTGGACTTAGCTAAAAAGCGCGCTAGCGTAAACGCGAACGCACGTAGGCGTTCAACAGTGTGACCGTTTTCCCGGATGTTATGGGTTTAGTTAAGGGATTCATTTATAATTTTTGATACCTTAATACAATTGCGAATTCATTAGATATATTTTGGAAAGAAAGAAAAAACGATCAAACAAACAAGAAAAAAAATCATTGCAAAGTGATGTGGCCGAAATGAGTTTCATTTTCAGGGTATAAATAGCGGAATTTTGTGAATTATTTAATAAAAACTACATGAAATTTAACTTGTTAAATGAAGTTTTTTGATGTGGAGAATACATCGTGAAGAAAAGTCTGTACCTCAGTACAACAATTGCATTTTTGTGTCTTTCTTGTCTACTGGTCAGCAACTAAACGGGTTAAGTTTTTTATGAGATGTCACCGACTTGAAATTGCCAAGCTACAGGAAAGCCTGTTCCACTATTGGCTAAGATCTGAGTTTATCGGCCTGTAAATCATTAGGGCCATTTATACGAGGAAAAATAAGACGCGTCTTAAATAAGACGCGAACTTTCCGTACATTTCGTGTAAAATAAGACGCGGCTTAGCTAAGACGCGTCTTATGAAATAAGACATGCTCGAATAAATGGTACAGTTCGCGTCTTATTTAAGACGCGTCTTATGTGAGACGCGTCTTTTTTCCTCGTATAAATGGCCCTATTGCTTCTTTTCATCGGAAGATGGTAACGTGTTCCGGAAAAAAGATGAAGGTACAAATAAACAAGTGAACTCTGCATGTGATCTAGCCGGAAAGCTTGTGTCTCGTGAGATGAATTCTTAGCATACACGTGCCTAGGGTTTCCTCATGCGTTTTACCACACGTGAGAGAAACGAGTGAAGACGCGCCAAAAACGTTAACGTAAGATAGAGGCTTCAAGACACATGAATCAACTCGAACTCAAAGATGTTCACTGAACACCAAGGGACAAAGTTTTGTTATTATCCATGTAAGCGGGTTTGAGTAAAACCTTACGGGTACAACTACATGTTTTATCGATACGAACACTCAACATACAAGCTAAAAACAACGGAACCCCATCTCTGCGGCGTTAAATTGAAGCAAACGTCGCTCGTTCAAATTTTTTCGCGGTAAATTTAAGAATATGCCTACCGTGAATTTTACTAGAAGGTTAGCACGAAGGTACTCCTTGACAACCACTTCCGCTTGATCTCGGGCGGAGTTGAAGCAAAAATGGAGAATGGAAGGAAACAAACTTAGTGGACAAATTTGTCATTTCAACACTATTTATTTGACATTTTCTGACTCATGCTCAAACTAAGACTCTTACCACCAAATATTATGATTCCTGACGAATAAATTATTTACTTCAGCGACATCCGCTCTATTTACATGTACATGGAAATGTCTCTAATTTTTTTCCACCTCGAGGGATGTGCTCCGGAGAACAGAGAAGAAGTGCTCCGTCATATAAGATATGTACGCCTCAAAGGCAGGCTAACGGTTCAGGAATTCCTTTTGAATTTGAGCATTTAAGGCTCAAATGGTTGCGTTTTGTGTGAAGAATGGGCTTTACCACTTCGACTGGTTTTCAATTAACCTTTTTCGCAAAGTTCATTAATTTACCCTGACCTAGAAAACAGAATGATCCTATCAGAGGCAACCCTGTAACTGGTACTAACGATTAACGGGAACTTTGGAACGAAACCTCTGTCCAACACCCGGCCACGCCCTCTTCAGGTACCAAGAGAAAATTGTAGCTTGCCGTTCCCGAAAAGTGAATACCTTAAAGAGTTTATACATTTCCAGATTTCTAATTCTCTAACCATAGTCCGTCATCGGGCGAGTACAAATCGTATTTCGTTTTTCGAATGATCGAGCATCAGCTTTTCCAGTTTACAGACCATAAATGTGTTAAATCAATTACTACAGATTTGGGCCGCATTTTTAAGGTTAAGACATTGATATTGATTGGTTCTCTTTATCGGTGACATTTTCTGGAAAACCGATTTAAAAGTTTTTGCCTGTCACTTCTTGACAAGATGAGATCTTTGCCGTTCCGACTAATCACTTGTCAGATTTCTATCCGCAAGGTAACTACGTCGGAAAGTCTACAGCTACTCCAACTACCATATCACTGCTGTATCATGGACGGACAGTGTTTTGACTGACTAAACAGACTGATACCGACACGCTACTACTGTTCTCGAACGCCCTTTTTTTTCCAAGGAACATTATTTTAAAATTCCTCTGTTAAGATAACTAACATGACTGCTGGTTAACCGATTTGCTGGGAAGTTTGTACCATAATGAGTTGATCGCTTCATGACCATTTCAAGTCTGTTTGCTCTCCGACAAACGGGGGAACAGATCAAGGTATTTTTCATGACGGAGATGACGACTGTTGAGTAAAACGCGAAGACGCCTGGGACGAGGGTCTAGCCGGGCTATTTTCCGCACTCTGACCAGGGGAGTACCCTGCGGAGCTGTCGTACCGTGCAACCGGATGACTGATGTTGCTATACCCTGACACAACAGAACCACCGGCACCAAACGCTACTGGACTGGATCGCGTGGGCGGTGGAGTAGGATTCGGTGTCCCCGTTCCTTGGAAAGAGAAGCCGTAGGCTGCATACGCAGCAGCAGATGCAGCTGCGGCGGCAGCTGAAGCCGCTGCGGAAGCAGCAAGAGCTCCGCCTGTTCCTCGTCCACGCGTTCGGGTTCTTGTCCCTCGAATACTGGATGACGCTCGTCCCCTACCAGTGGGAAGTCCGCGCCCCCTTCCTCTCCCCCGGCCTCTGCCTCTTCCTCTTTTACTGGAGGTGTCTGAAAGCGCGGGACTAGCATTCTCACTGCGGGGAACATCTAGGTCATCTCCCTCGGGTTTCAAACTGAGTGGGGTGCCTGTGCCACTTGGAGGAACGTCCATTGAAAGATCAGCGGACGCAAGTGAAACTGTGAACAAAAAGAACAGTTCACTCAGTTAAGTTGTGGACTCCAAAACAGTAATTGAAAAGCAGTTTTTGTATTACAGTTTGTTTTACATATCGTGGATTTCACTCGACCAGACTTTTCAGTCTATTTGAAGTTAGCTCTAAGGGAACAAATTCACTCATGGTTGCCACAGTCAAAGGTTTCTACAATCCTAACAACTGTAAGATTTTCCCGACCAACCGAATCAACAGTTTCACAAATTAGCCCTGAAAATGGACTCACACCTCCCCTCATAGACTCATTTATCTATGCTTTCTTTTCCGCAAGTCACGTGCAGTGTACATGAATTGACAGTTCCTTAACAAAACGAGGATTGATTTTCTTGAAAACCCAACATCAGCTTGTCGTTCAATTTTACGAAAAATATCCTACTAATACAACATGATTCATGACCGTCAGGAGCCGACAAAAATATGTACTCTTCAAATTTCAGACCTTGATAAAATTTTTCCCTTGACCATTTCCTGACCTGTAGCAACCATGTCACTTAAGTTAGCGTGACAGTAACAAGAGTAACGCAACATACCTTCATCCAGACTCAACACGCTTATGTCATCACCGACAGTACCATCAACATCAAACCCTTCCCCAGTCCTCACGCTCATTCCCTCGCCAGTTAAGCTGCTTGTCTCAGAGGCAGGTTTGGAGCCAGATAAGGACCCTTCTGGTACGGGTGGTACAAGAGAGCTCTTACTTTTGCGCCCTTTCCTGGCCTTAGCGGGGGGTGTCCCATCCATGACGTCAATACTTGGGGACGCGCCTTCGTCCAACTAGGTAGTAAAACAAAGGAATCGTTGTTGTTTAAATATCAACCCAAGGATTTTTTTTTTTACAATACTGCAGTTTGACTAAGGTAACAAGATTATATTTCCGTTTTGAAAAATATTCGGTAAAAATTGACAGATGACGTCAAATAACTGTTAGAACCATAACTGTTTCTCACCTATATGTTGTTACACTAAGCTAATATCACTCAGGTCTGATAGCTAGGTTCTTCATAGTCCTTTCAAGCCGATACGGACATTTGCCCACCTTAAAACCTGCCTGTTACCAATTTGAAGTACAAAAATCTTAACTTTGAGGAATAGTTTTAACTCATTAAGAAGTTTGCCGTAACGTTAATCTTAGCCATTCACGTTTCAAGGTACAAAACTTCGACACACTGGCAAAACTACCTTCGGGACTCAGCAGACATCATTTTAAACGTCATTTTAAAGAGAGGGTAGTTATAGATATTCACAAATTTGTAAGTTTGTTTTGTTTCTTTAAAATCTTCCGCAAAAGTACCTCAGCAGGTCCTCCACCCTTTTTCCTTTTCCTTTCTCTTCTCCGTCGTTGCTCGTCTGCCTTCTTTTCAGCTTGACGTTGGAGGACTGTTTGAACAAAAGATATTGAAAAAAATAATAGTGTGCTTAGACCCCGTCCGTACTAGAATGCTAGTCCGAGCTTGCGTGTTGCTGGAAGCATATTTTTTACAAAGCAAGGGTAAGAGCAAAGTCTTGAGTACTACATAAAAACCAACTCAAAGCAACTTTCAAATTAAAACTCATTTTCCCACAAAAGGGCTTTGCATTTGGACTCGTTTTGAAAGTGGGGGCTTTACGAACTAAGGAATGACAAGTAACACAAGCTTACATTTGCATTCCAGTTCCGCGTCGTCAAGTAGGAGAGAGACAACTTCTTTGGGTTTAAGAGCTTCAGGCTTGAAGTGGCCTCCCGATATCACCATTTTCTGAATCTAAAATGAAATCCAGACAATATAATTTTACCAAAGGTGTGGAACAAATATAACAACTAAAGCCAGAGGCACAGGGTTCAATTGACATTCGAGGGAAAACAAATTAAAGGAACTGTACATGTATCACAAAACCTATCAAATTTCAAAGAGCTGGAACTACCATTTAATTGAGGTAAACCATATTTATTAAAGTGGAATGGTTATGAAACCCGTTAGACTCTTTTGTTATATGTTTTTGTTAGCTTTTTTGGACCTGACCGTGCACAACATTCAATAGCATTCCTATCATTTTGAACTTACTGACCAATAGAATCATTGCATTAATTTATTCAGTCACAATTTGTTAACAGAAAACAAAGGATTGTGCTCGGTCAGGAAGCTTCCAATATAAACTACAGCACCGTTGTTTTCAACTTTGATGTTTGCCGGGTTTCCAAACCAGTCTCCTATACCAACTACGGTTAAACATACGAATAACCGCTCAGAACATTAAAAGAAGGTTTAGAAAAAGTGCTCATGTCACTAAGATATCACTGTTTCAGGTCAGTTCTATGCTTAAGCCATTACTTAGTGCATTTGCCCATACATAAATATCCTGTAGAGTTATGAAGATATCAAACAATGATATTTTTTTCATGACTTTTGCAGGCAGAGCATTAAAACTTGAAAAAGTTGGTCCAACTTTTCCAAGATTCAATCCACATCCATCCTGACAATCTGTAGCAACAGACGATAGGAAACAATTTCAATACCTAACCATAGTCTTACATCACAACAGTGTACCACGATTTTTTGAATTCAATAGATGCGAGGACACGGTTTAGCTTTTTCAAAATATGACAAATAGCTTGACATAGCGTTATTAACGTAGCAAATACGCAGAGTGGAGTTCTAACCTCGCTCTTTTCTTTAGCTCTCTGTAAAATTCTCTCTTCAATGGATCCCTTCGTTACCAGTCTGTACACGGTCACTTGGCGAGTCTGGCCCAAGCGATGGGCGCGGTCCATGGCCTGTGTACCAAAAACAGTTGTTGGGGTGAAATAAAAGTCTACTTTAACCACTGCTCTAATAATAAAGTTCGTCCTACTAGTCTTTCTGTTTTTTAGAAATTCATATAGTCTTGGCAAGAATTTTTAGGACAAGAAGTTCTCTTCATAAAGTCAACTCTCGCCTTGCAGACACGTAGGTATTGTGGGCACCCGATAATACGGACAGGCGACAGCTGTTAATTTACGATTGTCTTCTAAACGAAATTCATTTCCATCCAGCTATTACGGACTCTCGTTATTAAAGACACTAACTCTCGGTTCCGAGAGTGTCCCGCGCAGTATCGGGATTTGACTGTATCCGTAATTCAGAATAACAACTCTTTACCTGTTGATCCACAGTGGGATTCCAGTCGCTGTCATAGAAAATTACCTGTCAAATGCAGAAGATAAAGCTTTAGACTTGGACCTGACAAAAAGACAAATGATGCTCTCTACACGACATACTCTACGAAAGGTTTCTTACCGTGTCAGCAGCAGTGAGATTGATCCCCAGACCCCCTGCTCGGGTGCTCAGCAGGAAAACAAAAATGTCCGCGCTGAAAAGGAAAGCTTACAGCATAAATACAAATAAGAACTATTAACACTCGCTAGCCAATGCAAAGAATGCGCTTTGTTTCTATCCAATGGCTGAAGCTTTATACAAACCCTTCATTCTTAGAAGGTTAGAAAGACTATTGCAACTTACTTAACACTGAATTTTCGTGGCTTGCAAATGTGTATAGACAAAAGAATACGAATGAACAAAGGTTTTTCTGTTCTATTTTTTATGGATTCGTACCCATCTTTTCGAACTGGGCAATCAAAATCCTTAGATTCAGTAGTCAACATACCAAATTTAAGACTGTGGGGTGAAGTAGTATAAAAGCCCGTAGTAGGTAGTCTGTAGTCGCGAAAACTTTAACTCCCTTCAGATACTTCTGTAGAGGGGGACTTACTTATTTTGAAAATCGGCCACCATGTCTCTTCTGTCGGAGATTTTGGACGAGCCATCCAAGCGCATGTACTTGTGTTTTCGGTAGGTCATGTACTCCTTAAAAAAATACGAATTGATTACACATAAAACGAATGGCAATTTACATGATATTCAACAATGACATTGCCCCCCCTCCTTCCCCTGCTCCTAAATAAATGGAAAGCTAATCAGTCAAAGGGGGGAAGGCTTCCTATTATTTTATGTTTCAATGCAGTGATGAATAAAATGCCTTTTACCTCTAACAGGTCAATCATTCTGGTCATTTGGGAGTAGATCAACACTCTGTGTCCTTGAAGCTTGAGTTTTCTCAGCAGTCCATCGAGTACTGTAAGTTTGCCGCTGTCTGTAATCAATGCATTGCGGTCTAAAAAGAAAGAGATGCACTCCATTACAAACAAGAACTATCTACACTGTCAATGCACTGAAAGACCAACAGTACAGTCACTCAAACCCACCTCCTGCCCAAACTAACGAATTAGCATTCCTGCTCCGAATATGAGCGTCGCTTCCCACCCCTCCCCCCCCCTTCCCCAAGTCATCCAAGGTTAATTTCTCCTTTCAATAACACCGCTTTCTCTAACAAAAAGGCCAGGAGATTGAGAGGAATGGTTACAAACGAAGATTGCCTGCGAGCAGCTTCTCTGCGGGATTCTGGGAGCTGGGGACGGAAGAACACGAGAGTTTGCGGTCACGTCTAAGAAATTTGAATCTCTGCATCGAAAAAGTTGGTGTAAAATGCTGATTGGCGGAGACAAATTTGGTGATGATGTCATCTTGATAAACTAAATGTGGTGACAGGCCACACATCTTGACTTTCATCTCCTTATTTTTTCTCCGCCACCCCAAGAGGCTCCCCCACCCCCATCCCCACCCTCCCCGAGAGAGCTTACTTACAGGCTTAACCAAAAAATGATTGTTAACTCAATTCTCATCGTGAACACTATAACAAATGTATTGACAACAGTGTGGAGAATATTTTGTTGAAGAAACACTCAACCACACCTGGAATTTGCACGAAGGACCATCCAGTTTCTGGTGCTGAACCTTCCAATCCGCCAAGCGGTGAAGGAAAGAGATGACGCTTGGCAAAGTTCACTTCTTCAAGGTCAGGGGTCCCGTACAACAGGAGATTCCGACAGAGTTCTGAGCCTCCCTGTAACAGTTCCTGAATCTCGTATGCAGAGCTACGGTCACTGCATTGGTAAACGCTGGTTCCTGCCGTCACCTAGATGAAGAACAACAGACTCATTAGATTGTGGCAAAGTAAAGAAAGATACCCTAAATTCCCATATACGCAGCACATATATGGAGCTTTGGTGCCCCCATACGAATGATATATAAAAGAAGGGAGGGACCAGTCATTACGTGGTTTGTTATATTAAAAAATTTCTACGCGTCCAAAGCAAAACTCAGGGAATTATCAACATTCGTTGGTGAACAGTGCACCCCTAGCCTTTGTTGCCCATTCAGAAGCTATATGACCTCAAAGTAACCAATAAGTTTGCGCGCTGTTGGAGGAAACATTTGCAGCTACACAACAATGAACGATATCAAACCGTGCCGTGCGATATTGAGGAGACGTAAGTTACACCATAAACCACACATCTTACCTTTGGAATATATGTCGACAAAAAGGCTGGAAGAGGTGTGGGTTGCAAAGTTCTATCTACTGGAACAACTCCTGGAGCGGCGTGAAGGTGGAATCCCTCCGGTAAAGTTGTCAAAAGCGATGGGCCTTGCCTACAAAAAATTACTTTGAGTTTTAGTCATTGACAGGGTGAATAAAATGCAATTTTTAACAAGGTTAAGGTTCAATGGAATTTAAAGAGCGAGAAAAGCACTGAACATGATTTCTGGTGAACAATTTGCCATTCGCCACCGTAGAAGCGAGACGTGACCTGACTGTTACCGAAATGCGTCCCGCAATTGTTTCTGGGATGGTTACTGGGGACGCACTGGTCAGCTATTGGCCAATGTTTTTCCCCTGTCCCTAGTAACAGTCCCAGATGTCTTTGCGACCCAGTTTCCTTATCGCTCCTGGATCATTGTTTCCTACCCCTCCCCTAAGCAAACATTTTGCCCTAAGTGAAAAGTAATTGTTAATGTTGGCTTAGGGGAGGGGTAGGTGAGCAGTTTCCCCAGACACGTATATTAATCCTCGTTTCTTAAGAGGCAAACTGTGCCATTGGTCATGTCAGCATTCTCTGTACAACGGGGTTCATACAAAAAATTGCAACCATTTTTCAAGGAGTTTTCAAGGACCACATTAGATTTTCAAGGACCAGCTACTAGGAATATAATTTCACAGATTGTACAAAAATGCACATTCCCAGTCTATTCTAGTAAGACTTCAAGGCTTGAACTGTTTGCCTCACCAGCTTCTCTACATTGTCAGTTGATTCTTGCATAAAACATAGAGCACTTTATGTAAATAACCTTTAAATTCTCTGAGCTATGATTTATATTCTGTCTTGGACAACCAAAAAGCATCAGAAAAATTTTTCCAGGTCACTCCATTCAAAGTTGAAGAAAATTCAAGGACTTTTCAAGGACTTGCACAGAAATTTAAGGACTTTTCAAGGAAAAATGGAATTCAAGGACTTTTCAAGGACTTCCCTTTAAATTCAAGGACTTTCCAAGACTGTGTGAACCCTGTAAAAGCCGTCGATTCGTTTGTCACGCTGTTACGCTTGTTAAAAGTTTGGATCATTAAACCTTTCTGGGAAACTGCCCACCTACCCCTCCCCTAAGTCAACATTAACACTTAGTTCTCACTTGTGGCAAACTGTTGGCTTAGGAGAGGGGTGGGTGGGCAGTTTCCCAAAAAAACGTGTAATGATGCGAAAGTTTTTACCTTGTGGGGGAGAAGGGCAGTGGGGCACCTTGTCCAGGGGGTGAGTGTAACGAGGGTGGCACATGCCCCGTGGGGGAATGCAGTGAAGATGGGGCATGCCCGGGAGTTGAATGCATCACTGGGCTTCCAAAAGCCGCTGAAGTCGAATGTCCCAAAGATGAATGGTGTTCGTCCAAATGAAGCGCCCCAGGGAGGGGTCCGTGGGGATGCTGATGAGTTCTTGAGGGCGAGACTGGCAAGCTATGGTGATGCCTAGTGTTTGGGGACATCTGTGTGGGAAATGAGTGCCCGTAATGCTTTGTTGGGGAGAAAGGACCAGTAGGAGAATGCATCAGAGGAGACGAGGGGATCTTGCCGGTCGGTGAAATCACTATGTGATGTGAATGGTGGCCTTTTTGCCGCGATTCTTTCCTCTTTGTTGGAGAGGTTGGTGATACAGCTGCGCTGCTTGAAGTGCGACGAGTTCTAGTTCCTTTGGAGTGTTCTTTAGCTTTCCCTCTGAGCGGTTTGTGATCGCTGTCGTCCAGGATGGGTTGCACATTGTGAGTCAAGTGCGAAGATACTCTCTTGGTGTAACCAGTGAATACCAGCGATGGAAAAACTGAACTGGACTGGATGCTCGGATAGGAGGTGGTTGAATCTGGCCAGAGAATCAACCCATGGCGACCCAAACACTTGCTGTGGAAGAAAACAAAGGTTTACAGAGTATTTAGAAATCTAACAATAGAGATATGTAGAATTGCGTACAAAGCAAACGACAAAAGGTTTAAAATAACTCGTTAGAAGGAGTGAGGTGCATTAGGTTCAAGTAAGGGGTGCTAAACTTACCTATTTCTGGGTACATCTTCACCCCAAAATCTTTGATGATGAAGGATATTTATTTCTCTCAGAAGAATAACCAAAGCTAACAATCTGAAAAAAGAAAACATATACGCTGTTTTAACAATACACTGTAGCTCGAGTGTCTTAAAGAAAAAGCTAAAATTCAAGGTACCGTTTTCAAAAACCCGTTTGATCTTGCTTCACTTTTGTAAGTTCTGAGCTTAAAGCTGGAATGCTTGAAGTGTATATGATTTAGACCACTCCCCTAAAAAAGTAGCTCACCCCGCTTTTTATAGAGGCCTTTATGTTTTTTCGCATATTCTCAAATAATAGACACCCCGGATAGCTTCACTGTACATCTTCTTCACCAAAAAATTAGCACTGTTATCTTGATTGAAGGAGGTTAAGCTATCTCCCAGCCGCAAAATAATAAAAACTATAACACTTTATAACTTGTGTCTCCTAACACGACATTATGGCCATTTATACGAGGAAAAATAAGACGCGTCTTACATAGGACGCGTCTTAAATAAGACGCGAACTTTCCGTATAAACGGCACATTTCGTCTAAAATAAGACGCGTCTTATTTTAGAACAGCCCTTAACACGTGTTCTTAGACAAGACGCGAAAAACTTCGTATAAATGACCTTCGCGTCTTAAATAAGACGCGAACGCATAGTACGCATGCGTTAATTTTTGGCGCGCTACGTTGGATTGGAGTTGCTACGGGCAACATTCACATGAAAACGAGTCAAGAACAGAAATGAGACGCGAACCATTTATACGAGCTGTTCTCGTCTTAGATAAGACATGCTCGTATAAATGGTACAGTTCGCGTCTTACGTAAGACGCGTCTTATTTTTCCTCGTATAAATGGCCTTATTCTCGCTAAAACTCGTAGTAGAGTGACGACGGCTACCACATTTTCCCGCCAAAATGACGCTGGTTCACGCGCTTGCTCTACTTAGTATTGCGGAAATCTCGTACTCGTAGTCGTACTGGTCTTAGAATCTCAAGGTCTTTTATGTCTTTTCCCTGCTACGATCTCCCTCCAAAGATTGTGAGATAGTCAGACTAGCAGCACTGAAGCACGTCTTAACTTTGGTGTGAACGAGACGCAAGTCTAGAAATGGAGATAACAGGCTCACCTAAATACAAGTCCCTTCAACATCATGGCTGAGAGCTGTTCAGGAGACAAGTTGATGAACTTCAAAAACGAGAAACAGTCACTTGCTGGGGCTGAAAATATATAGAAAACAATCACAAATTTCAGAAAAAGTATGTTACTTCACAATATCAGGGCGACTTCCCGATTTGCAATTCAGTGCTCTACCGACACAGTTAAACCTGGCGCGGTGCAAGGCACAGCATCTTTATAACATAAGTGCAATCATAAGTGTTCAGCAAAACAATTATTCAGTTCTGTAGAACCCCCAACCAGATTAACATTCATTACCTGCAGTATCTGATACATCAGGCTTCAAAGAGCTGTGAATATAATCCACTGTACTGATATTCAGCAGATTGTAAAGAATTCTGAAAAGCAAGCAAAATGTCACGGTACTCTTTAGATATTGCAAAAAAAGTTTGATGCAAAGAGGAAAACTTCTTCGATTCACCACTTAAGAAACAAGAAGGATATTTAGCCGAGTTAACTTTCACAAAGACTTCTGAGACTGCTACTGGAGACAGGGAAAAAAATAACGAATAGCTGACCATCGCATACTCAGTAATGATCCCATTTTGGCAACAGCTCCTTTCCCTGTTTCTAAACCGACGAATTGCGGTAATCTGTAATCTCTGACTACACCTCTCAGACTATAAAAGCTGCCTAACAATACTCTCTTTTACTACTTATTACACTGTAAATCCTGATTGCACTTCAAAAACTTTGCTTTGGAGCGAATACAACTGCAGCAAATTCTCTTAATTAATGAAGACACTGAACTTACTTTGTTTTACTTGGTGTTGTGAACTGTAAGATGCCTGAAAAGAAAAGAAATTTTCACAATTTGTCACTTTGCCATTTTTCTTTTTTCACTTGTCGTTCCTGAAATTAACAAAATATAACTGGGATCGTACGCTATAACAACGGAAACGAAGACATAAGTAACGCGTCTTTTCAATCTTTTTACGCGATTATTCCAGAAGACAAAAGATCATATCTTTCCCACCTTCTCCCTCTTTGAAAGCTTGTTTGTTCCAGGCTACTTGAGGATGGATTTTACTTACAACATACGAACAAACAAAACACGATTACTTTACCCTCTCTGTAGACGAGTTTAGGCAGATGGAAGGGCGAAACTTCCACATGAATGGGAGAACGCACATCTCTTCTCTCAAACAGCTCTGGGTGGTTACAGACCTACAGCCATAGAAGAAAAATTCATTAGAGACCTTAAGTTTTAGATTCGAGGGCGAGGACGTTTAACTTCAAGTTTTACTGCGTTTTTCTCAAAAAAATTAGACACCACGGAATGCTTGATTGTAACTCTTTTTCACTAGAAAAGTTAGCACGGATATTTTCATTGAAGAAGGTCGAGCCCTTTTCCGATCACAAACTAAAACTTCTGACTGGTTTTTGCCACTACGACATTCACGGCTATCAAGGTTTTCCCGCCAAAATGACGCTGGTTCACTAGTTAAACCACATTGCATGTTTTTATCACCAGGGAGTGAACGAGTTAACAAAATGGTGTAAGATGGAGTGCGGCCGTGCTCCACACTTGACAGGGGCAGGGTGGAGGAGTGAAAAGGAGTGTAATTTCTTATTCAACCACAACTCACTTCACTACCAACAAGAACTATAGACAGACGAAGAAAATGTCAGAATCAACTTACTTTTCTAAACTGCATGACTAGATTCATCAGGCTGCTTGTTGTTGCATTAGTTGACGAGGAAGACGTTGACGTGTAAACAAGATCATCAATGGAGATTTTATTTCTCACAGCTTGATAAAGCCGGCGCTGTCTTGTTGTGAGATGACACACAAGCTTGATTTCAATCTGAAATTATAGAGAAAATAAACAAAATGACCCCAAAAAAGCGTCTTGTAAGGATATGAAATCTTTTTTTATCAATTGGCTTCATACAACACAGCAATAACTTCGGGGCAAAGACTCCAGCCGAAAAAATTGAGCATATATGCACTTATTACTGAAAAGCATAAAGTTATGGTACCTTTTCAGACAGTTCATTTTCCACATCCCGTTTTATTCTTCGCAACATAAAGGGTTTCAGGATCATGTGAAGTCTTGAAAGCTGGTCTAGAATGAACAAAAATAATATTAAATTAGAAACTAAAATTTCAACCTCAAGGCTTATCTATGCACGTCATATACGTAAGATTATAAAACATCATATTAAAAACAGCACTAACCCAGTTCAATTTCTCTCTGAACGGTTAGCAAAGCAAATTCGGTAAATACGGTTTTAGTTTTAGCTTTACCAGCTCTTTTCTGGGCACAGACAGGCCTAGAGTGAGTGGGCATGAACGGGACTCACAGGTCCCATGCGAGGTGCCATCCCTGGCCAACCTTTATGGGTGGTGGTATTGAGTATGGCTCTAACTTTTAAGAAATTCCGCGGGGTACACCACCGGGGTCTACGTTCCCTCCTTTTTTTATACAGTGATGTGGGTTCTTTTGCATCCCACAAGAACAAATCAGTGAAAGTGCTGTAAGACGAGACCTACGGTTTTTCGTCCTTATCCGAGAAGACTAGAAAGCCTAACCATTTGCAAATGTCATTACAGAGGCAGAACTTTCTTCTCATTTATTTAAAGATCCTGAGTGCTGGTCCAGCCGGGGTCCAAGTAAACCAAGTAAAGCACAGCTGACAAATATTTATTTTTGAATGGCCACACCTTAGGATTTTATCCATAGACTCAAACTGAGTTAGAACCAGCTTATACAGGGGTGAATTCTGGGCATGTGGACCTCTTAAGGGGTCGTACGTCTTTAGACATACCCATATAGGCTATGCTATACCTTGGTCAATGGCAGTTTTATTTTCAGCATGATTTTCGATGTCTTTCGAGAACCACTCGTTAAACTCTTCATGTGAATCAAACAACGTCGGCATAATGAAGTGAAGCAAGGCCCACAGCTGTCAATGAGAACAAGCAAAAGCTGTGAGGAAAAGCACTCAAAAGACTATGTTAAAAGTTGATGTGAAGTGTTAAAATCACACAAACCTCTGCCATACTATTCTGAATGGGTGTTCCAGTTAAAAGAAGTCTGTTCCTACACAAGAAGCCAAGGAGAATCTTCCAACGCACGCTGTAAAATGAAAAAAAAAAATTTGATGAAAATTGCTGCAAAATGCACCACTTCATGAGCATTAAGAGGTGTGTAACAGATTCCTAATTATTTAAAATTTTCTTCTTATTCTTTTTTAAATATCCTGATTATTCAGATCCAAACTCTACAACAGCCAAACACAATAATTATTTTATCCTAAATTTCTGGGACCATGAATTAATTAAGTCCAAAACATTGGAAAAAGAACTTCATGTTGAAGGAAGGCTGATCTCACGCGCAGAGTGACCTCATTATCCCAACAAGTCAGACCAAGGTTTACGTAACTTCTCTTAAGTATTTTACATTATTTTACCTGGAACTGCTTTTAATTGCTTGTGCTTCATCCAGTACAAGGTACTGCCATTTAATGCGTTGAAAATACCGGACATCTTGGACAACCTGATTTCAAAAAAATGTACTATTGATTGAATTGTAAATATTTGACACTCTTAGGAATGGCTGTTCAGCAGTTTGGAAGCAGATTTTTTTACTTCTTTGCAGAGATAAATGTTTTAGCCTTTTGATATTGCATACTCTCTTTAATTAAAGTATTCTCATGGACATGACTTGTGCACCAAATTTACATGTGGTAAAATGTAGAGCTAATCCCTCTGTGCTACCAAAACTTAAATTAAGAGTTTAAAACAGCAAAACAACTGACTTGACTGACCACTCCATTAAACAGGATGATTACATACATGTAGAATATATAGATTTAGCCAGGGCTAAAAGCGAAGCTCTGGTTAATAATACGTGTAAACAAAAAAAATTGAATCGTGCGACGCTAAACGGGGGACGACAATGAAAATGGCTTCAAGAGTAATAGATCTAATTAGCAAAAAAACAAATTGCACGTGCAGCCACTTTTTCTTCTAATTAGCAAAAAGCAAATTTGCACGTGCAGCACGCTTTTCTGTCTTTCCCTTGCCGTTGTTTTGCACGACTACAACACTGTTTTGTACGAGTAAAACATCAAACTTCCTAGTTACACACTATTTTTATGGAGAAATTGTCGTATGTGCTTACCCAATATTTTGTTTCCAGTGTTCATGTTCGCTTTTATTTTTTCACTGCCGCTCATTTTCACCTTGCTGGCCGCCAGCATTTCTCATTTTCTCACCGCCGCTTTGAATTTCCATGTTTTTCTTCCAACGAATTTTCAATAACTCGCTCTAGCTTTTTCTCTGTTATCCACGTTAGTGTACACATAAAAAAATAACGCCGAAAAAAAAAGACACGACTTTTTTTTTTTCTACAGGTCCGTTCGGCCATGTGATTTCCTTACAAATAAAACCTTGAGTTGCATTTGGGTTCCCATCCCTGTTGATTGAGTTATTTTACATTGGTATCCCTGTGGTGCGGACGGACGGTCGTACGGTCACGTGATTACCAAATTTTCTGGGATGGGTAGATTAAAGCTATGGGGCTCTGTTAAAACAATTCTCGGTTTTCACTGTCACGCAATCAAAAATAAAATTGCAAACCATTCAATTCATGGGGTCCCGAATCTAGGAAATAAAAGAAGATAAATAAACAAAAGGCCTCGCCAAGAATCAGGTCTGTGCGATATTTCATATGCGAGATATTAGGAAAAACGTTTTACCCAAATTTACAAAGCTTTGTATGGCGACGCCATGTTTGTGTCCTTTTGGGTGACAGAAACATCTGTTTTTGAGTTTTCCTACTAATGAGTTAATTCATCGCTTGAAAAACTCATAAACTATTAAAGTGATATTTATTCTGAGACAAGGAATGTTTAGACAGCAAAATCTCCCAAAATTGGTAATGTTTTTAACCCACATAAGAGCCGTTGTGGCCGCCAGCTTAATGCCGCGTCACGCAAAAGCCTAGAAATTCAAACGTCCTCTATCGCAAAACGAAGAACCCTTTCGAACCAAAACTCTGTTTAAATAAAGGCGTTTAGGTGCTGTAATACCTCATGAAACTCAGAAACTCAGAAGAATCGATAGTTTCTTAGTTTGAATTTTGGTGACGTCATGTGAAAACCGAGAATAGGACATTTCGGAGTTCCAAAATCTCTCACTTACAAACCAGGGACCAAGTGCAAAACCTTTCTTGTTAAAATGAGTTTGATTTGCATGAGAATTAAAAATCATTTCCACATCAATGACTTCGCACGTAGCCTTGCTTTGAAACAGAGGCTTGGGGCAACTAGAAAATAGCCTATTTGAGTTTACTAAATTTTAATTCGTGGGGCTGTGTTCCAGCTGGCAGAGCCTGGTGGCCCCTGGCTCCCAACTTTTGCTCTTGGGTGACTCAGGGTGTTCATTAGCCATCGGAAAAATTCTCCATTTACTAAGCAGAATTCTCTAGCTAATGTTCGATAGTTGGGGCTACTTTTTATTCAGATGAGGAGCCTCTTTCAAAATGTTCTTCTGTAACATTACACCTTACTCCTGCTACTAGAATTCTCAATGAAAACCATGGCGACTAGAAAACCTTTGTTTTTTCATACAAATCATATGCAGGGCACCCAAGATTTTACATGTTCCCTTCAATAAACCTTAGACCACAGCTTTGATTCAACATGAGCGAGTTCAATGCTTTTACTCACCAGTTGGTAACTTGTAATAAGTACATGGAATGGAGCATTCTCATAGTCATTTATGTGAACTTGTTTCTACACAGAAAAAGAATACGACTTGGTGAGTAAAGAAGACAATCTAATTGGCTACAGGCGAGGCATTGTTTAATCCAGGGCTTTAAATTAACTTCATAAATAGTATCAAAGAAGGCTGCTTGCAACTTGAGTAAGTGTAATGTAGATTAAACAAAGTTTAACTTGTTAGGAAAAGACAACAGCCACTCCTTAATTAATAGTAATCATAGACTGATTAATTGAGTACCCAAGGATACCCAAGGAACACAGGAATCGCAAGATTATGTGTTTCATTCTCCCCACATCGAATGCAATGACCCATAAAAGCAGCCAATTTTGTCTACTAAGGCTGTCAAAGAGAGTGGAATTCTTCAATCTTAACTCTAAAGGGCAATATCCCTTTACAGCTGGAATATTTGTTCCTTTACTTGCTATGTATATTCCAGCAGTTTATGTAAACATCACACACTATACCTGTGTCCAGTATTTTCGAAGAGATTTCCTGTCACCTTGGTTTCCCCAGTATGGTAACACCTGTTAACAAACAATGATAATAAGTAAAGATGATGACCAACAAGCTGCTACTGTTAATGGCGAGAATTGCCACAAAAAATAAACAAAGAAACCAGTTTTCAATCCAAAAAGCAAGCATTTCTTACAGTTTGCAACTCTTCTGACACAAAAATTAAATAACACCTATAACCGAACTTTCTAGGGCTTGCAAAGGCACCCTGGAGTAGTCTTTTTATTTCTTATACTGTGTATAAATGCAATATATTAATAATATTTATGAAAAAAAAACACCTTAAATTGGGGTATAAATCTGGTAACTTCCTGCTGCCAGTTGTGCAGTGTAGAAGCCGGAGCAACCACCAGGAATGGACCCCAAATATTATGAGTCTGTAGAAAGGAAACAAACGCATATTTCTGTCAAAATTCAACTACAGTTGTAATAATAAGATTATTCACGGCCATAATCCCCCCTTTCACGGACAAAATAACTAAAACATTTACTTGAAACTTAAAGTACTTTTCAAAAAGACCTGTAATTCAGTAGTCCAATGAGACTAAAACAAGATTTCTATCAAGATCAACAAAACCTTTTTCACGCAGATCAAGAGAGCAACAATGTCTTTGGGAAACTAGAAAATAATACAATGATTTGCAGCGTGCAAAGAAAGCCATGTCCAATAGCCTTGGATTAGAAGATTTTGCTATCAGGCTAGTGAATTCGGTTCTTAACTTGCCCGACTGGCAAGTGAAGTTTTTTTTAGGAAATTCAAATTACAAAGGCACTGTAGTCAATCCAGCTCTTCAATTTTGTTTTTTTTTTTTTTTTTTTATTTCATTTTTAGGCTAGTGCATGTTAGCTATGGCAAGCTGTAAAACTGACTTTCTTTGATCCCTGATTTGATGCCAGGTTAAATGACTAATTTTTTACAGTAACTGACTCTAATAATAATACTGTTGTTGAGGTTACATTGTTATGAGACTGCATCGCATATTATCAGAGTGCATAAACATCTCCATTTTACAAAGCCCTTACTACAGAACACACCTCTGCAAGATATGAGAGAAATGCTATGGACTGGACAGTCTTCCCTAAGCCCATTTCATCAGCGAGAATTCCATTGATCCCCTAGGAAGGCAAATTAAAAACCAAATAGTTGGATGATCAGAAAAAAAGCCAGCATCTTCCAAAAGAGGGGAAAATATTAGCAAGTTATGTGATAATGACTTCACACACAACAGTTCTAATATCTTACTGAAAACTAATTTTGCATAAATGCACTGATTGTTGGCAAAGAGGCATTATTGTCTTCCTCTGTCTGGAGATCTCAACAAGTCCCATAATACCACAAAACACACATATTCGTGGAATCAAAGGTGTTTACTCAGTTAATGATTTGAAATCCAAATAAACTACGTCATGTCATGCTTCCAAAAGCTGAACAAGAAAACAACTGGTCATTTTTGTTGGATTCCAGCATGTACATGTAACAAATACCTGTTCATAGAGGTTGATAAGCCAATTCATTCCCTGAAAAATAATTTAAACACATCAGAATTAGTAAGGAAACTAATGACAGCCATGGTAAACAGATACATCACACAATGAAATCTACCTTTAACTGATATGATTTAAGTTCCCCATCAAAGATTGTTGGTTGGGGATGGGCTTGTTCCATGTTCATCATGGGGTTTGCTAAACTGTAACTCTGGTCAACTAAATACAAAATAATATAAAATGTGAGTTGATGACCACATGAACTGCAGTTCACAAAACCAGAAACTCTCTATACCTAACCATGAGTACTTGTTCATTGAAAATTCTCAAATGTAAAACTATGCACAGAATAATCTTTTTCATTAATTTGTTTTTATACAAATAACAGAACTGCTTAATCTGGCTGTTTTGTGGTTCTGAGGCTACCTCAAATTAGGATAAGTGTAACAAACAGGCTTTTCAGTGGAGGGAGAAAACAAGACCAGACTTACAGAAAGCTTGTGACATTGAAACCTTCTTCCCTGTTTCTTGCTGGTAGCTGTTGTCAAATTCTCTCGTCTACAAATAAAAATATTCATTAAAAATAAGATAAAATAAAATAAAATATATAATCATAATAGTAATAATAATATTGTAATAATGTCTGAACTACACTGACTCTTACACGGCTCTTATTAGAAACATTTAATGTTATATTTTAGAAGGAAAAAAAAACACTCCTTGACCAAGAACTACAGGATAAATTAAGACAACATTAGAGGCATGTCAACATACCCTTGCTTCTTGATCTTGGATTGCCCTCTGAGCATTTGATAATGCTTTGGATTTCATTTCATCTGCATCTACAATTAAAGAACAGTAAACAGTTCTCTTATGGTAACACATGCAAGATTTAACTCGTAAGTAGCATATTTCAAAGTCTGCTATTGACAGCATTCAAATGAAACCATTGAAGAGTACTTTGCCATGACATGCTTTCACGATAAATTATTATTTTAAAATTAATTTAGACACATTTTAATACTGAGATGATCTCCTATCAACAGAACGAACCTTCACTCACATACTGTTAACCCTTTAAGCCCTGAGAGTTATCAGCATCAAATTTCTCCTTGTAATATCTATGCTTTGTAAAACAGATGGTCATGAGAATTACAGACATAATCACACAAGATGAATATGCTTGATATTTTATCAGCTTCTCCCCACAACTTCTGTGGGAAATGAGTAGGGGCAACAAATGAGAATTCAACTTTTGATCTTAGGGTTTAAAGGGTTAACTTTTTATGCAAAGAAATGTGAACATATTTCTTACCATAGGTATCAGCATTCTCCATGTCTATTAACACACCCCCTTGTACTGTCTTCACATTCTGTTTAGCAGAGGGTTCATCTAACTTCCTCAAAATATCTTGGGTGCCTTCATCAGCTTGTGCGCCTGCAAATTGAATGCAGGGAATCAACTCTAGTCATAATAATAATAATTCGACTATTTACACAGGATAACCTATCAGTTCTGATAAAAGAACTGTTATCAAAAGGGTCCTGTAAAGTAAGACTCTAATCAAGCAAAGAAAGTTTAAGAAAATCTGTTGTTCACAGATGGCAAAAATGGGAAATTCTGGTCAAGAAACTGAAGAAAGGTTATACAATTTAACATTGTTTTTTTTTAGGTCTCAGAGGAAAACCCACCTGTCCAACGTGGCAAAAAAACACTAAAAGTCCAAAAAATCCATTTTGCCTCATTTTAATTATTTTAATCTGAAATGGCTCATTTAGTCAATTATTCATTAATTAAACAATGTTACAAATTTCAGTTTTATTAGGCTGTTAATTAAGGTTGTCCATAAATTTCAGATGTCACTACAGACCATACAACCTGGAACAAAAATAACAACAAAGTAAAACATTTCTGTGTTTTTGAAACTTGATTCAAATGAGAAGCTTAGTGACATCCCCAAATACACGTAACCATAAAAAAAAATAAGTGAAACCGAACAGTGGATGCCTTTTGTGTATCTACATTCTTGGGCAAATGAAATGGCTGGTAAAAGAAAAAACTTTCATCTAGCCTCAAGACTAGCCAATTGACATTATAATTTATTTGAAAACAGAAAAATCGGTAATGAAATCGCTTCTATTTAAAGTTTGATCGATCGAACACTTTCATGGACGATTTTGGTGATTTCTAACGAGAGGTAAATCACCTTAAAACAACGCTTAAATTGAACACATTTCCTTGCTCTTTCCTCCAATTTTGCAATTTTGCCTGAATTATGCGATTTTTTTGACATATGCTATTTGAGGTCAATTATGCGAAATCGCAACAAGTGGTCAAGAAACTGAAGACATTGTAGGAAATACAACCTGTAGTGTTAAATGTAAAATCCATTTTCAACACAAAATATCAATATTATTAAGATACTTTGCTTATTATTTATAAGAGTTTCAATTCAAGTTAAGTGGATTATACATAATGTGTTTGAAAGCTGTCATAAAAGTCAAGAAAATAACGTTTCTATATAGGAAACCATTCACTCTTAAGACTCCAATTCCTAAGGATATGCTAACAGCGAATAACATTACATGAACATTTTAGTGTATGGAAATCTTTTCTGAGGGTTAAAACCTTTTAAAACTTATTAACTTTTTTATATGCTCATGAAATGAGCATACAACTCAGTCTGTGTTATTAAGAAATTCAGTTTCCGCTGTTGCCTTCGGGCCTAAAATAACCAAACAAAAAAGCCTTAGGAGATTCACAATGTACATGTACATGTACATGTGCCATTAAGAAACTTGAAGATATCTGTCTCCTTTTACAAGGGATTCTTTTATGTTGAGTAATGCATACAAATGCATTAAACTGAAATACACTTCAGATTAGACAATGCACTTGGAAGTTTAAACATCAACAATACATTCACCAATCAACGAATCAACACACTTGGACAATCCTCACCTCTCTGAACTCATCATCAAGTTTTCGCTGTTCCATTGCTTCCTTTTCTGCTCTCTTTCTGTGCTCTTTTTCCACTTTCTCATATTTCTTCCAATAGAGTAGCATCTGGTGTAAAAGTGAAGACAAAAATTTTATTGCATTCTCTATTCTGCTGTAAGTAATCAAAACGTTTCAGGAGAAAATGAAGTACATATACCAGAACTTAACATATGTGTGACATCTACATGAACACAGTAACAATTTGTCAAATGGACTAGTAAGTTTCCATCATTGAAATATACCTCAATTACCTAGAGTAAGGTCTTTATTGTTAGTGACTGATCTGGTCTTGCAAAAAGTTAGGTTGTTTCAAAGTGTCTTCAGACGGAGACAAACTGTTTCAAAAGTGTCTTCATTTTTAATCTTAAAATAAAAAAAGTTTTGCAGAAACCATGGAGACTTTCTCTTGTTTTTTAATACTTTAAATCCCTTTCTCTTGTTTTTAAAGGCCAATTTGTGCTTCAAGGGGTGCACCTTCAGAGTTCAAGGAAGAGGATGATAAGGCAGAGGGCTTTTTGACACTGGAAGCTTAAAGTGGAAACATGGTACTAGTAGATTGATAAGGATGTGTTGATGTCCATACCTCTCTACAAAGTCTTCTGGCTTTAGGTGCAGTCTGTAACGTCACCTTCTGAGACCTCTGAGCTTCTCTGCGCATTTCCTTCTGGCAAAGTTGAGCAAGCTATACATGGAGAGAAAATCAACCCCATTATCCTTGGGTCAAATATATATTTTCCTTTTGTTTTTAACTCATTAGATGTATTTGATCCCATATGATCAAAACACCAACACTACATGTACACGTACTCATGATTACTCACATTAATTTTACCACTTGTTTACAAAACACCAATAGTAGATGCATCTGGTTACAGATATTTGGCAATACCCTATTTTTGAATACCACTTTACTTTACAAAAACTTGATACTCAGAAAGTTAGTTTGGGGTTTTTTACAAGTAAGTATCTGCAAATCTTTCCCCAACTCACCTTTTTGCAGTTGGCAAGCATGTTGTTCCTGGCAGAGGATTTTTGCCTGTGAGCCTGGGAAAAAAATCCAAGATAAGTTAGGATAGAACAAACATTTTGAGAAGAGAGCAATTTTGTTAAGACAAGTGTTTCATTAAGTGTTCCTTACATGGGTTGGGTTTTAGTGTAAGGCCTGGTTTCCATATAATCATCCAGATTGACTTGATCATCTCTGTCATCCCAAAAATGCACGAGACAGTAACTGTTTTAGACCTCCCCAAAATACATCAAACTAACCCTCAAAATAACCATATTGAAACCCCTTTCACCCCCTAACCTGAATCTTGCTCCATTTAAGAATCTGCGCTTTGTTTGAGCAGTAATCACCCCTGATTTCCCCACTCGGGGCTGCTTATTCTGAAAATTACAAATAAACGGGTTGTTTTGTAGCATTCTCCAATTTTCGTTCCATTTTCATTTCAACTGTGGGCTTTAGCAATGGGGGTCCCACAAAGCTTAAATTTCTCTTTATTTGAATGAGATTGTTTAACTTTTTTTTTTTTTTTTTTTTTTAAAGGTTTGAATCCAGGAGTTATTTTACAAATGTTTGTTGAAACTTTGATGGTCTGGGTGAAAAATTACGGGTTGTTACATGGGGTCCCAGTCCTGAACAGGACTGTTGTTGTTGACAGTGACTGACATTTCGACAACCTGTGCAGGAGTCATCTTCAGAGTCAGGACTACGTTTACCTGGACGATCAAACTCAACCTACGTTTGAGAATTGCTTAAGTTTCTAAAGAAATTAAGATAAATGAACCGAACAATACCCCTAACTATAAAAAGAATGGAAGGCTCGTTTTCAAATGCCAATGAAAACACAGCAGAGGTTCCTACGAATGTCATGGCTAGAGCATTACTCTCAACAGTCTTCTTACCCTTGGTATCTCTTTCCTGACAATCAGAGCCCATAACTTTCTTCTTTTAGCATCAGCTTCCTTGCGTCTGATCAGAGTTTTCTTGATAATCCTTTCTTCCAATGTCAGCTGTCTCTGGTCATCATCCTACAAATAACACAAAAGCACAAAATATATAATAAGATAAATGAGTCACCAGAAGTATGACATATTCAAACTTGCACCTCGTTATCAGTATTTTGCAGAAAAAAATTGAAGATTTGTTTATTCTGATTGCCAAGTTAATAACTTACCAATTCATCAGTCTTTTTCTTTTTCTTCTTTACTTTTAGTTTGTCCTTTTCTTTCTTTTCTTTGGGAAGTTTCACTTTGCCTGACAAAAAAAAAATTGGTCAGCTTGGTTAAGAAATGCATGACGACTCCGTTTACATGATCTACATGTACTACCACGTCCCTTATTTCCCTCAGTAGTCGTCAACTAAAGATGGTTGACAATAGCTGGTCAAAACAGCTACACTAAGAGAAACAGAAGCAAGGTTGAAGCCAATATGGAGGTCATAATGAATCCAGGCATACTTTTATTACTTCTTTGTGACTGGGAAGCCCAGGATTCATTAGCCTTCTGGCCCCAGTTGTTCAAAAGGTGGGTAATGCTATCCATCCGATAAATCTCTATTCTCTGGATAGCGCAATAGGTTTCCCTGACACTTATCCGTTGGACAGTGATTAATCCAGTGGATAGCGCTATCCAACTTTTCAACAACTGGGGCCTAGTTTCTTCTGGGCTCCCTTGCCAACTTACAATAATCCTATTTGTATTCCTGTATTGTAGTATATTTTGGCTAAATAAAAATGAACTGAACTGAACAAACATGAATTCCAGAAAATGCCCACCTGCATACACATGAATGGACATTTTCCTGCATAGCTAGTCTACCATAAATCTTTCTGAGGAGGGTGCAGTTCCAATCAAAATTTTGGGCACCATCAAAGAGTAACTGATATTTCAGTGTGACAAGGACTTGTTTCTTTGCTTTGGGTCTGATGGCTGGTTTGGGCTCGTGGCAGCCATGGGGGAACTATTCAACCTCAGGGCTGGTTATCAAAAGTGGTAACCCCTAGATATTCCTGGCAGCCAACCTGACAGTCTCATGAATACAGAAAAGCATACCGTCTTTTAACTTTTTTCTTTTCAGCTTCTTGGATCCAGACTGTTTCTGATATTCATGGTACTTGTCCTGATTTGAAAGCAAGCTGGCACTGTAAAATTGGTACCTACACAGCTGTATGATAAAACAAAGTATTCATATTAGATAATAGTATTTTTTTGCGTTGCTATATACTTAAGAACATCTTGGTATATTACAAGTCTGAAAAAAAAAACCAACAGTAAATTGGACATTATAAACCCAGGGACAGGACCTGATGGCAATATGGTATTGCATCACTATTGATATTAACAGACCCGTTCATGGTTTTTTTAAATTTTCAGCATGGATCAGTAAGTGAAAATTCATTGACATTGCTGAAAAGAAAGCCTAAAAATAGTAAAATTGCCAAGTTTGAGAGTTATTTGTTAAAAAAAGATATAGCTCCGCAAAGTCACAAAATTCTACAGACATACGTTTGATGGAGGGGACCAACTTATAGCCCCCAACCCCCCCTCCCCGTCCCCCCTACAGAGGTCTGTAACGTTTTGCAACTTTAAGGAGCTGTACCATTGCTTGCTTTAGATGCATCACTTTCAAACTTGGCAAGTTTTACCAGGGTTAAACTGCTCGACGGATTTTTACCACATGATCCCCATCACAACTTGAAGAAAACGGTGGAAGGGTTAAATTCTTCTGGTATTTTTTTGTCATAATCACACTGTTAGTATTGAGCAAGGAAATAGCTTACATCTTTGTCAAAGCCATACATCTGCTGTGCAATTTTCTGATGTTTGTGTAACCAAAGCATCTCCTGAAGATCTTCGTCTGTCAGTGGTGCTTTATCATCCTCATCGCATGACGTGTCTGAGCTGTCACTCAAAAGCACCTCCTGGTAATATGAGATATCGACACAAAAATGTAGTTCCAAGGGTTTTAAAATAAATGTCTCGTAGTTAGTGTATAAACCCATGGCTAATTCTTTTATATACACAGTAACTACAGTCGTGACAAAATTAGTTGAGACACTTTGCCCTAAAGAGCCTCTCTGACGTTTTGTCAACTTAAAGTGAAAACTAAAGCTTTCTCTACTCCACCTCACTCCAGGCAATGTTTTGTCACTGTTTGAACTACACTGTACCAGCAGAAAACAACAAACATGCCAATTTTAAATGGAGGGGAGTGGGAGGGATGTGGATTATTTTGTTCTCTGAAGTTACCTCATTTGTTACCCCATTGTTTGTATGTCTCTAATCATATGGGGGTTGGTACAACCACTACATTTTTTCGTCAAAAAGCTTTGAACTATATAGCAAGCCAATATTTTTGTTTCCACAAACCAAGCAGTGTCAAACTTTGTACAGAATCACTGTCTTGTAAGCCACTCTTGCATGGTAGGTGAGACAAATTAATGAGCCAGAAAAAGCATTGCAGCTGAAGACTGAGATTTTTTGCCACAAAATGCTTTCCAGGGTACAGGCACATAACAGTTTTTGACAATGACCACTTGCATTTGCAGTCTATACAAAAATAAGCTTAGTGACCAAAATATACTCCTGAACATGCATTACAACCAAGATGGAGGTTGTTCATAAACTTATTTCCCCTGTTTTGTTTGTTTACCTGGGCCACTCTTCATACAGATAATCAAAATAGAACAGTCAAGATAATATTATTACCTTCAGCCATCTCCTATCTTTTTTCACTTTGGCAAAGTTGTACAGTCTTGTTTTGTCAATTCGGAGCTCTGGACAAAACACATGCAAAAGAAAACGTTACTGGTTTTAATATTCAAATATACTCCCAGAGGTACTTCCTGCAAATACCTTAATAAATCTTAGGTATCCGCAGTAAAATTGCTGCTAGTGGAGATCTATGTTTGAGACAGTAACTTATATCATTCACTAGGATGGGGGTGATTTAACAGGATATCAGCCCGATCTTTGATAGCCTGACAAAACAGACAACATTTCATGATGCCACCACTGGTTTCCCGCATGAAATGACATCTGAGGAATGAGTTGAGAAATTCACTACTGATAACGTGTCACTACCCAGATTTGGGTAGTGCTTCTGATTGGTTATGCCAAGAGGGAAATTTGCTACGATCAATCAGAAGCACTAACTAGATCTGGTTAGTGATGCGTCATCAGTGTGGAATTTCTGTACTCACTGCTCATGCATCATTTTGCAGGGAGACTGGCAGAAGTGTCACAAAATGTTGGTTCTTTTCTCAGGCTAGAAGTTTGATGTCACAGATATTAATCAGTAACTGCATCTAGGGGGGTACGCTTGACTGTAAACAGCAGTTGGGATATATCTTAACTTACACTGTAGCAAGGCTTGCTAGTCCTGCCTCTGGGTGCTACATATCAACCCAACAGATACACTGTACACTCCCTGACCCTTCCTATCCTAGACACAGTATAAAATCAAAACATTGTAATTCTGCTTCATTTTGACAAAGAGGCCAACTAACCATCCCGACTCAAGGATCCATTTATCATCAAGCCATTTTTGTCCCCATTTAAAAGGCTTTCACCTTTGGCAGGAGCTTCAGCATCATTCTCGCTTAGTTCACTGTCATCTTCACTACAACAGAACAACATAAAGATTGCTCACAATTCCTGGCTAGAAAAGTTATCCTCTTTTTAATATGCAGCTAAAGTATGGGCAAAAATAGCAACTTGAAAGGTCAGGATTGATGAATGCAAAAAACATAAGTTAGTCATAAATAAAATTCAAGTGTAATTCTCTATGTCTGTAATAAGGGTTAAGAGACAAAGAAAACTGAGAAGCACACTAGGATAAAACTATTTTAATCGGAATTTATTTTCAACTATGAGATCAATTTACCACCATAAAAAGATGCTATGATGTGCTCTTTGATAGCACCATTCACTCTGACAAAAGGCCTTGTGCTTAAAGGGTCAGCTTTTCAAATTTCTTAAAGTGATAAACTGACTTTATCAATTTGTTGTTTCCTTCCCTCACTCACACGGCACCATAGTTTCTTTTGAAAATAACCCAGCACCTTCACCTTGAGTTGCTTCTGCTGATCAAGCTTTCCCCTATGTACACATTTTCTTTGTCTCTCCAAAATCCACACAGTTCTCTTCGGACGGACACTGTTTTGTAAACACTCCCTCTCCCTCCCCCACTTCCTTTGCCATCAAGATTTTTCTCTATGTACCGAAATCCCATCACTTTCAGCATTGATAACAAAATGATATAAAAACTGCGATCTCTTAGTGTATCACCATCGGAGGTGCTTGTGCTGACGTACAATTTACCTCTGCTTATGTTTCATAAAAAATAACCCTTTACTTAAAAAAGTACCTTTAATAGACTACACTGTATCAGGTTTAATTAATCGACTATGCACAGCTGACGCAACTTTCTGATATAGCCCAGTAAAAATAAATAAATTTGCGATGCAATTACCTGATATTAGACAAGAAAGGACCCGTAAATACACCCTCTAAGTAACTGAGAAATGGATCCAAACGTAAAGCTTTTTCCAGATGCTGGACATACAGTGGTGCTGCCAGAGCTGATGACTGGGGGGATGCCATGGAAACAGGCACTTTGGAACCCTGAAAATGGGGAAATCAGCAAGCAAAATATGACTTTAGGGCAAAGGCGAGCTTTTGCTGGAGGCGATGACAACACGATCACCTTGTTCGAGTAACCGGCAGCTTTCGCTTCCGACGGTGAAACGTGCGAGCTAAGAATGGTAAACGTGTCCCCAAAATGTTGATATAGTGGGACAAGAAGAGAAATTATTAGCCTAATCTGGGTGAAAAGAACTGCAACTTCCACCATTAAAACGGGTATTTTCAATGACCACACTCAAAGTTACGACACAAAGGAAAGTACTCGATTCTTTTCAAGAAAGCCGTTCAGCGAAAGCTAAAACGTAAAGAAAGCTTAACGTACGGAAACCAAAAGAAAAATCGGGAGAAACATGTCTAAGATCGAAGGTGCCACTAAACAACGCTCACCTGTGGTCACCTGGTCTGTTCTTGCCGCATGGTCGAAGAAAGCCACCTTTGTGAAACCATATCCACCCTACTTGAAGTCGGTTTGCCGTTATGGCGGATTTGTTCCGTCGAGTTGGCAAAATGCTTGCAATGCGGCCCATGACCATCATTCCCCCTTCGCAGGGGGCCTCCGCCATTTACAATCGCGTTACTACGCATGCTTCTGGTCTATTGAAAATGGAACGGGAAGACCTGGGAACGAAAGGCTCACAGTTTCCTCAACAACAAAGCGCAATTAAAATGAACATACGCGACACTGTATCCTGCATGGCAGGCGGAAGCACCGGTTTGTTTTAATAGAGCCCCCTAGGGGAACACGCGAAAGGAGACTCCTCTCCTAACCTCGTCCCCAAGTCGGCTTCTCTACTTTCCTCTCGTACGCGCGTGCGCGCGTCCTCGAAACTTCTCCCTTTTAAAACTCCCTTAGCCTTCGCCCTAAAAGAAACCTACGGCTGTTTCAGAAGAAACCGGTGTCTGCCACACAGGCTACGCCTTAGGCGTTATGATAACTTCACCTTCACTTGCCCATCACCGTCCTCCACCCCTTTCCCAAACCGCTACCACAATTTCCAACACCAACAGGCTAGGGTCGGCTTCTGATATCAACTCCAGCTGGTGCATTTTAATACCTTTGCAAGTCTGCAAATATCATCTTTTTCATCAAAGATTAGCCTGTGTGGCAAGGAGAGGGTTTTTTTCCAATCTCCTTTCCCCCTTTTTGCGCCTCTTCCACGCAGGCTATCAAAGTTAGTCACGCGTGCATCGATCTCTCATCAGGTCACGGCGTATCAATCTATAATTTCGGCCTCGATCTTTATTGATAGTCTTAGGCGACATCTTAGGCACCAAAATGAATAATTGAGCCAATCCAGGAGCCCATCAATTTGATGGGCTCCTGGCCAATCACCTTTATTTAAACTTTAGATTTATACAACAGCTGTAGAAGCCAATACCTCTATCCAGGCTGTTATGAACAGAGGGACTTTCCAAGGCATCTTATACAAGTCTGCATTTTAAAGAAAGGTTCCCCTTTTTTTTCCTTTCCGTTTCAGAAACAGACTTGGTACCAATCCCATAGTACACCGAGGCGCTATCTGCCGACGTTCTTTGGCGAGGTTCCTAAGCTGTTGACTTCAGAAAAACATGGAGAGGAGGAGTAGAAATTTGTTCTGATTTCCATCTATCTTGCCACGAAACAAGACAACAAATCGGCGATTCTTGGTTAGTGAACAGGCTCGAAATTTCGTCATGACGTTTTACGACAACTATTATGAGACAGTTTTACCAGATCTTCCCTCGTACGATTTTGTTCTGGACGATAGCCCGACATGCCACCAATCTCTGAAGTACTGGACTGATCGAGCAGCTGAGGTAACCGTAAACATCACGTCTGTTTTTATGATTTGTTATTAAATCTGTAACTTGTGTCTTGGTTTTGTGCTGTTCCACAAAAATCCTTTAACTGCGATAATATTGTGGTGAAGTATCATTGTCACGTAGTCTTAACCGGCGGCGGTTTTACCGAAACTGCTACTTGTAACTTAAGTGAAAACAGCTGTGTCTAAACCAATATAAGTTAATGACAAGATCGGTTTTTTGTGGTTTTATAATTGGTCTTAAGCTATTTTCTTGAGTATTTAAACGTGATCTAGGTGCCTGGCATTGAGACAATTTGACTAAAAATAATATTGTTTAATCTCGTTGACGTCTTGTAATGACATTTAAAACGTTTTGACACCTGCTCCAAATCTTGGAACTAATGGCTCTGCCGGCGAATCATACATTACACTGTACGCTGTAGGTTTTCTGAACACCTGGAAAGCTTATGCGCTGCTAACTCAGTACCACTAGTCTTCGTGTCAGATCTTTTTTCTTTTTGCCAACTCCAGGGGAGAACCTAGATAGCACAGACAGGCCATTATACGTAGTTGTCAATAAGGCTAGGAAATATCAGTCTCCTTCCAGTTGTTGGTGCAGTTTAGATATTTTATATATATTTTCAGATATTCTAAAGAGCTAAAAGTCAATTTAACTTTCTGCACATTGACGGTGGAAAGACTTTGTATCCCTTTTCCCTTTGTTGTTTAAAGTGGAAGGAGGCTGGGCTCATACTCGGTGTAAAAACCTGTAAAACTCAGGAGTGATGTAAAAAAATAATAATATTAATATAAACAAGCCACTGAAAAGTCAACACAATAGAGCCAAGGAAAATAATAGCTAGAAAACAAAGAAAAAATTCACTGGTTTTTACATCGAGGATGACCCAGAGGATATAGGTAGCTGGTAAGAGGCATTGTGGGAACTTCTGCCTTTTGTTATTTGAATTGACTGATGGTATTTTATCCTCTAGATCACGCCTGGGTTATCAAAACTCTCAAGCACAGTAGAGTCCTATTATAACACTGGCTTACAACATAGTCAGGCTGCAGCTGGGTTTGGAAATGCTCTTTCTGATGTGGCTAAAACTCTTCAGAATGATAAAGACATAAGTGAACCTATACTAAAGGTAATAAATATTTTTTAAAAAAGTCATCTATTGGTAGCGTAAAATTCCGAAAATAAGCCCCTGTGCGTATATTTTTCAAAGGCCCTTTTTGAGGGGCCTGTTTTTGGAGGGGCTTATCTTTGGAAGGAAATTTGCGTCTCAGAATCAATAAGACTAGCCTTATCGATGGAAGGAAGTTTACCGTTTTTGCTTTGCTTTACTTTGTATTTGAGGGCAATTTCCAAGTACAAGTCCCCGGGGGTCTTATATTTGGAGGTGCGATTTAACAGAGGGTTTTTTGCGTTACTAGTTTGAGGGGCCTATATTTGAAGGGGCTTATACATGGAGGGACTTATTTTCGGAATTTTACGGTATTGTAATGTTGTGTTCTTTTGTAATAGAAACCATGATCACTTCTCATGAACTGTTTTCAGCTTCTTCACTATTATTAATAATTGATGATACTAGTAATAATAATAACAGTACTTAAGCTTTTCACTGGATCACCAAATGGCTGACAATCTTTTCTTTGTTACAGTTTGCAGATATGTTTCAGCGAATTGAGTGTTACAGAGATATGTTCTTGAGTCAAACACAGATCCTAACCCTTCAGCCACTTGTAGCTTTGACTAAAGAGTTTGAAAAGGCTAAGGTTAGCTTTATTCATTAACTAGTAACATAAGGTGGCATTTTAGTATTGACGAGGATTGTTTACAATACAATGTACTGTGTATGTGCGGTTAACTGGACTGTTAGTAATGTTTTTGGTTGTTTTGGGCAGCTTAAGTCTTGATTTATTTGTTTATCTATTTATTTTTGTTGTTTACCACATATGTTCATGGTATGAGAACTGACATAAATTTTAATTTTACAGGATCTTCAGTCTCAGATGCAAAAAGCTCGAGATGCTTTGCATGTATCCTGGGAAAAGTTCTCCAGTGTTCCTCATCTAACTAACTTGCAGGAGGTAAGGAAATCTTAAATAAAATTTGATGGCAGATGTTGTGATTTAATTTTACCCTTGGTTTAAATTTTGTTTTCCTGTGTTTTAAACTTGTTATCGTAAATTATCATTTAAATGCATATAAAAGGAAAACTTAAAACTAAGAATTAAAGTGAAGTATTCGTTACATAGATATGTTATAGGTTAAATTTGATTTCTGGTGAAAATCTTCTAACCTAGGTTGGTTCTTAATTTCTTTTTTCTCCTTATGGGCTGGGAGAAGTAAGAAATGAGGCTAAATCAACCCAGGTTGAATCAAAATAAACCTAAAATGAAATTTGTCCTGTAATATAAATACACTCAATACTTTCTCTTGCATCAGTGCTTTGTCAAACTTCAGAGGTTATTGTCCCCAAACTTTACACTGTGATTTTGCTTCCTAACGTCCTTTGTAGTGTACAAAGATTGATTCAGCGACCTAAAGTTGATTATCAAAATATCCTGTAACTTGTAACTTTTTATTAAATGTGTAATATAACCTACAACAAAAGAGTAACATCATCTGCCATGAACAAGGTCCAGAAGTAACTTCTGGTCAAAAAAACAGAAGCATTTCCACTCAAATACTCTGAAAAGATCATTGGTTTTTGGACTGAGACTCATGGATTCTGGTCAGTGACTCAAGATTTTTCACAATACAAATAAAATGAGTCCCACTGCTCACCGTAATAGCAATCTTTGACAAAATTTCCTTCCAGCCTGCTGCACTAGACAAGTTGGCTCACAGTATGCTACATGCCAGACACAATTATCACAGAATCCTCCTCAAATATGTGTCAGCTCTACGCGACATTCACACTCTGAAGAAGGTATTTGTATAACTACAGTTTTAATAAATTACTTGATACATGTAAATGGTGCAGTGTTTATTTAATTTTCCAACTTGTTGATTCATCACCTAATTGTATAAGGGTAGTAATTTTTCAAGGGGCAGCGGACTTATATATTTACTTCTACTCATTGGTTGATGTGAAATTCCAATAAGTCGGAGGCTAACAGATATTGCATAGATGTATACATGTACCAATGAACTGATTTCTGGTCTCTCTCTCTCTCATGCTTTGTCCACAGTTGATGATCATTATAAGTAAGACTGACTTGTTTTTTTCCTTGCAGGTGATTATTCTTCAGAAAGTCTTGGAACACATGCTTGCCCAGTTCTCTTTCTTTAATTTTGCTTATCAGGTACAGTTTTTTAGCTCTACAATAAATAAATAAATTGACCACTCCAGAAAATATCATACCTTAATACTCTTTGTTTATCACCCCAAATTTTGCATAAGCATTGTTTTCAGTTTCTCTTGGGGCCATTTTAACTCCCAAGAGAGAGTGACAAACAAAGAGCATTATGGTATGTTATGGTATTTCTGGAGTGGTCAATTAGTTAGAATGGAATCTAGGGGAAAAGGAAATTTAAGATAACACAGTAGACCTTTAGGCCTGGTATTAACTTGCCGTGTACCTTTATTTTCATTTATTAACCTGCACATCCTGTTATTATTATTGGGTTATCATTGTCATCAGCATCATCATCATCATCATTTTTATTATTATTATTATTATTATTCTATCTGAATTCCCCTAATGCTTTTTTTAATTCTGCAGCATCATGTGGGAAAACATTAAAATTGGTGGTCTGCTTTTTATTTTCCTTTTAAACATAATAATTAATGTTTTTTTTTCAATAGACGTTGAAAGATATGGAACCATATATGAATGAACTCTTTCAAGAGCTTCAAAACACTCATGCTAAACTAGAGGTGAGACATTGTTATGTCAGTTTTATTCTAAATTTCCACTTTGCTAGTTAAGTAATACACACTGCACATATGTCCCTTAAGACAATTTATTTTACAATTTAGTTATTATCACTTTACATTCCCTACTTCTGAGCAAGGTTTTAGCTGGGTAGGGACTCTCTTAGGGCACCTTCTATTTAGCAAAAAATAGTCCTTTTCTGAAGGTTAAACCCATAGACAAAAGAAAGGTGTGGGAATGGTGGCTGGTGAAACCAAAGAGAGCCTCAAACCAGCCTAGAAGGTAACCATGACAACTTTATGAGTGGCAACCACCGGGCACCATCACACTGAGAACCTCAGTGGAGAAATGCGCAGATATACTTACCAAAAAAAACATCCAAAGGGTTGGGGGCTAAAAACAGCTAAAGCTACTGCACATGAAGGCAACATGAGCAAAATTATTGACTTCTCCAAAAGCGCTGTAAAATTACTGTAGTTAAAGCCCTGCTAAAGCCCAAGACCGCCCCGCATACAATTGGTGGTGGAGACTGCCGGCCAGCATTGTCTCATGTTTAACCTTGCCTAAATTAGATTTAGCTACATGTTTTTGCTAAAAACCACCTCATTGGTGCATACTAGTTAGGATTTGACTGATCTGGCTGGATATGTAGTTTTGATTAAAAGTGATGGGAATTGTCTGGCTGGTCAGTTCTTACAAATGGAAAGCACCCTTAGATTCCCATGCAGATTTCTGTGTAAAAAAATCTTGAGGCAGTTTAGAATTGTTAAACTTGCTGCACTGGAATTAAGTTCAATCCTAATTTGATCACTAATCAGACAGTAAACAGTGGCGTTTTGCCTGGCAAAACTACAGCTACTGATGCCATCATTCAGGTTATTATGTAATGTTCATGGGCTGTCACCAAGGGCTAGGATTTCCCCAGCCCCTATAATCATGACCCCTGGCTGCTTTCACAGGAAAGCAAGAGAAAAACAAAACCGTAGAACGTCCTTCAGTTTTATTCCCCTGCTTCTCTAACTACGTATACCCAGCACTTTAAAATCTTAGAAACTGCCCTGATTTTTGGAAAAGTTACTAGTGCATGTTAGATTAATTAGGAGTATAAGTTTAAAACTTGTCGTTGCCTGTGTGGCAGCCAACCAATGTGGTAATGTTGATGATGGTGATATCATGATAATTGTGATGATGATGATGATGATGATTATAATGATGACAGTGATAGAAGTAAAACTAACATTTCACTCATCACAGGACAAACTCCAGGAGGATGAGGATGTTCAAGCAGCAAGTGAAGCTAGCATTCTTACTCAGTATCAGAAAGATGCACAGTCTTTTGCCGAGCCACAGACAACTGTTCTTGGGTAATACTATATGCAATGTGCTGTATGAATTTCTGATGTCCTTACAGTGTACGCGTATCTAGATCATTTAGATTTTTTCAAGTCTGTAAGGAAGATCAGCAAGCAAGGTGTGTAAACCTATCAAAAAAGAACTTGATGTTGACCAAACAGGTTATTTCATTGCAAGCTATGGAGGCATTGACAGTTACAACATTTTAAGGCAATATGCATATGCCTCACCATTTGAATGTCAACTTTTTCATCTTGCTTATGGGAAAATGAAATTTCTGCTTGACACTCACAATATTTCATTTGTGTTATTCATGTTGCATTCACTTTGGATGCCCCTAAGACAATGCACTTTTTTAAAAAATTTTTTCTTCATTATTTGTTTGACGACCTTGTACTTATGTGATCCAATGATTTCATGCTTATTACCCTAAGGTGATGCAGCAGATTTTTTGTTAGATGACAATGAATTCAATCTGAGTCACATGTACATGCTCTATTTTTACAGTTCAGCAACCCTCGGTCATTCTGTTAATGCAGTGAATGCACAGGCAGGCAAGTTCTTTAACAAGATTGGTGATTTGTTTCAAGGAAGCACTGCAGGTTTGTAGCCAAAATGATGCACTATAGATTACTGTTGGCATACTTTAGTTTATTGTCTGAGTTATTAAGTAGCATCAAATTTAAAATTTTTATTTTACCCTCAGGTTCCAAAAAATCTAGCAAGGATGTTCATCGCCAGGTACACATGAGTTTTTGCATTCTTTTCATTTCCTTAAATGAAGTTTACATTGAGATTTAAGCGTGGTGAAAGTTATACATCATAGTGGATACTCAAGAATTATTCGCAGCTTGAATTGGCTTGCACCCAGTGCAAGATTTTTCTTCTCAGTGATTTTGGACCTCATTAGAAATGCCTGAAACAGTTGTTAAAGTCTTCTTCATCTAGAGTCGACTCTCTCTTAACGGACACCTCTATAAGACAGACACCTCTGTAAAACGGACACCACGAGCTGGTCCCTGCCTTTCTTTATTCCTTTTATTTGACTCTCTTTAAGACGGACACCTCTCTAAGACGGACACTTAATGCCAGTCCCAAAGTTGTGCGTCTTAGAGAGAGTTGACTGTCCTTATTCATTCAATTAGCTTACATTGTGCTGGGCCCTTCACTTAAACATAGTTCAACTTAAGCAATGGTTAAAACAATCAGTAGACCTTCAAATATGTTTAAATGTGATTTATTTCAAGTATAGCAAGTGATTACTAGTCTGCGCAATGTGTCTTCATGATTCTGCTAGCAGCAAAGGGATATTAAAAGATGAGCCAAACTTAGTCACCCTCATAGCCGTTTTAGTGTCATAATGCAACACTCCTTCTCCAACCAACTCAACATGGCTGCTTTTGATAAATTTGCAAGAAAATTCCAAGGTGTCTTCTAAAAAATGAATAATGTTTTTACCAAAATTAATCATTCCCTAGGATTCAGAATGGGAGGTGATTAATAAGCCCACAGAGACATCATCCCCACAAGTCAACAGAAAAGATCAAACATCATCATCTTCGCATAGTAAAGCTGAACCACCCACCAGCCTACCATCTTCTCCATCTAAGAAGAAGGAAGGCTCTTCAACAACTTCTGATGGTATGGTATTTGCTCCATATAAGATAGAAAACTAACCCATCTCAGAATGGGATGTAAATAACAAAAACTACTAACCTACATGTGATGACAGATTTTTTTGTGTGTGAATTTGTTTTTTTAGCCACTTTTACAAAGAAAGGAATAACTGATTGAATCCTTGCTTTATTTTTTTCCAGATGTTCCTCAAGAAAAAGTCATTAAAGTTATACCTGATGATCTACTCAGTCCAAGCTCCGAAGTTGGCCCATCCAACATAACAAGTAAACAGCCCAATACAGACACTTCAAGACCTATCGAGTGAGAACATTATCATCTTATGTTTTAGCATTTTGCTTTGTATGATCAAATGCAAAACACGACTGTCACTAGAATTTCAAGGAGGCAGGGAATCAAGCAGCTAGGGGTTTCATTTGGTTTTATTTTTCTTCCTTTCATTTCTGTGAAAGTTGCCAGGGGTTATGGTACATTCCTTGTAGTTAGGGGAAATGCCCAGCCCCTAGCTCTTGATTACAGCCTAAGGGAAATCTATAAAAATGATTCAACATACTAAATTGGCTAAAATCGGAATAATTTAAACTTAATTCAAAATTGTGAAAAAAAAATTTAAAATTAAAGTTGCATAGCTTTTTGTTGTGACAAATGTTGAGCACTGCCATGTACAAAATTTACTTGCATTCAATAATGTAAGTAATTATTCTGTTTTACAACCTTCCTTTCAGAATTATAGCAGCAGGAGAGGGGACCTTGGCTGAAACGTCTGTTGGTTTTGAGCGATGTAAGAGAGGATACTTAAGGATAAAACAGAAGGGCTTCCCCAAGTCAAGATGGCCACTACTGGTAAACAAGTCTAATGTTATCTACACCTAACTGTTTTCTGTAGAACCTTTGTGTTGGCACTCCCTTGGAAAAGAGTGAAAGAGAAGAACCATGATGAATTTGCTTTAGACATGGTATTGGCCAACGATAGTAGTTCGTCTACCACTTTAAAAGATTAAAAATTGCTTAAAGTATGAATTGAAAGCAAATTAACAGTTCCACTTAACTGTATTGTTGAAGAAGTCTCATTTTTAAGCTCACAGACCTTTGGAGTAATTTAGAATTTATCAAAACCTCTGAGTGGGTAGGATTGTGTTTCAGCGGTGTCATGGCAAATTTGTGACACAAGGTGAAGAAACATGCATTGTAACTCATTCACATGCATTTTGATGGCATACAGCATGCAAAGAAAATCGTGTCCGATAACCTGGGGCTAGTGGATTTTGCTATCGGGCTAGTGAATTCTGTTCTTAAATTGCCTGACAGGCAAGTGAAGATTTTTGGGTATTCAAATTACAAAAGAATGGGTAAACAATCCTGCTCTTCAAAAATTGTTTTTGGGCTAGTACGTGCTAGCTACAGCTTGCCTGTAGAGCAAGCTGCAAAATTGCTTTCATTCTGGACTTGTTCCTGAAGATACAAGAATTCAAATGCTTAAAAAGCAAATTGGTTTTTCTTTGCATCCTGATGATTGGATACTCTAAAAACAATAAAGAAAATTATCCGAGAAAGTGCTTTTGACAGCAAGAAAAAGAAACCTGGGTTAAAATTTAACCTCAGGTTAGCGTTAACCGGCGTTCGAACAACTAGGCCCAGGGCATCTCACATTAAGAGGGCATATTTGATGTACTTTGCTGTTCTGTTAGTACTTCATTGTGGATCAAAAAGATGGCAGATTGTTAGCTCAAGGTCAAGAACAGGTCTCGCCATCAGTGATGGAAAATCTGTTGCTGTGCACAGTGAAGTTGTGTGATTCATCAGATGCAGACAGGAATAACTGCTTTCAGGTACATGTAGATACTCAGAGCTGTAAAATTAGAGTTGGTTTTACTGAAACCTGTCCAGCAAACAGCCATAATTAATAATATTATCCTGCTCTTTTAGACTTCTAAAACAAGCTATTGTTAAAGAAATAATTTTTTGTCGCGCTATTATTTTTTATGGACTTGGTAATGTAAGGCAAGATTAGACCATATGTATTTTAAAGGGTATCATGTAACAGTTGCTAATAGTTACTGACAACCTTGTCACATGTATTGTTACTTAAATTCTGTTCAATAATAATAATAAAATATTTTTATATAGTGGCAATATCCTTTATGTTCAAAAGTGCTTAACAACAAGAATAAAATAATGATAATAATAACAAAATATTAACAAAAAGCTTCAAATCTTAAGATGAAAATAAAAATGGCTTAAAAGGTATTGAAAAAAAGTCATAAAAATGCTTTTTTAAAAAGAAAAATTTTAAGTCTTTTTTTTAACATTCAACAAGGGCTTGCGCAAAAAGGTCTCCTGGCTCACCTTCAATTTATTGCTACCAGAATAATATTATACTTGGCAACTTTGGTATTTACTGGTTATTAATTTATTTTGTTTTGTTTGCAGCTTATATCACCATCTAGTGAAAGAATTTTCCAAGCAGTCACTGATCAAGAAGTACAAGAGTGGGTTACAGCAATTCAGGTACGTAAGAGGCTTTGAGTCAATTTGTTATTTTGTGTCAAAAAATTAAGACTATAGGAGAGAGGTTTTACAAAGAATTCTTTAATTCTTTTAATGGCAGTTGTTGAGGGGTGTGGCCATGTCAGCCCCCCTTAGTTCCATCCAGGCTTATGGGGGATTGTTTTATTAGTCTCTCCACTGAGCTGCAAATACAATGTAGCACTGCTTCAATTTTGTAGTTTGTATGATCTAATGTGTCAGATTCTACATGCCTGTGGTTGGAATAGCAATGGACTAGAATCCTATTGAGGAAGTGAGACAGCAAATTTTTCCAAATTAATACTGGTACTTGTTTTTCTTTAGAAAGCAACTGCTGATGCCTTAAGAAATTCTAAAGCAAAGCTACAGGTGAGTTACACATAGACCTAAGTTGTCATAATAATACTTAATACTTAATTATTATTATTTAATTAATGTAATAATTATTAATTAATTATTAATTAATAATTATTATTATTTAATTAGGATTTTTAGTGTTCGTGGTAATTATTACCATGAACACTAAAAATCCTCAGCATGGAGGAAATTAATGTAGTAAAATAAGACGCATTGAGTAGAAAATAAATGATATTTAAATCAAACAAACAAACAAACAAGAAAAACATTTGTTAATTTTGATTTATGAACTGTATTATTTTGTCCTTGAGGGTACCATTAAGTCCCAGTCCTCCACCCTCCCTCCCTTTGGTTATTTGGTCATCTTTAGGTATCAGTATCTTACGTTGGTCTCAGTAAAAGTTAGAGGTTTGAATTATTTCTTTTAAGTAACATGATTTAAGTATGTTTCATTATCATCTTTTTAAGTGTACATTTATGTGAATGTAAGCCACCCAAAACTTGGATTTAAAGTTTATAATTTATTGTTACCTTTTAAATTGTTGTAGCATGCATATTACCTAGTGATCTCCATTTTTGGCGGGAAGAAATAGGTTGCAAAAAGTTGCCTTTAAAACCGATCAACATGGTCTTTTTGTTTTAGTCACTTGCGAGATCTCAAGTAGACCAATCAACTTCTGCAGCCAATTCAAAGAAAGTGTATGTTTCAAATGCTTCCGAGAGGATTAGAAAGATTGAGGGCAATTCATACTGCGCTGACTGCTCAGCACCACGTGAGTAAACTTACTATCAGCACTGATCTATCTACATGTAGTTTCTTGTTAAAGAACATTAGTACAAAATTTGGCAGAACTGTTATGAGAATAATTTTAAAGATCTGATCATCAGGTAATGGCAGTGGCATGAAGAGGCAGCCATTGTGTTGGAAGTAGGAGCATTAACTAGATACAGTTTGTCATCCCTTATATGACTGTAAGTTCTTTTACCATAAGATTGACCACCACTGTTTTATCTTTGCCTTGTTTGTTTTGTAAATATGATACAGTATCTGTTAATATATCATGACTGTTTGATTCCTAACACCTGCTAGAGTAAAAAATTCACAAAAATTCCAAATTTCAAAAAATTTACAGGGTTCAAAATTTCTTTTGTTCAAAATCTCCACTGGCAAAAATTTTCGGTAACAAACACGGTTTTGTTTGTACAATGTAATTAATTGTTAACACTGTTCAAAAGTTCCTGGTCAGTGGACCGCCACAGCTACTTCGTGTAAGAGGACCACGTTTATTTCCAAAATGAATGGTATTTAATTGTAACACTGTTCAAAAGTTCTGGGATTTTTTGTCCATAGATTTATAATGATCAGTCACATCATAACTTGGTTTAAGTTAACATGAAAGTGCATATCTAACATCAGTCATATTTGATGTTACTCTGTTTGTTGTAGGGCCAGACTGGGCAAGCATTAACTTAGGAATCTTAGTTTGTATTGAATGTTCCGGAATACATCGGAGTCTAGGAGTGCATGTGTCTAAAGTGAGATCACTGACGTTAGACAAATGGGAGGACCAGACTGTTAAGGTAGCATTGTTTTAAATTTATTTTTTATTGAATGCAACTGATACTCGTCATCTACAAGAAAAGTGGAATTTTTTTTTCAAAAAGAAAGAATGAGTCATTGGACAGATTGCTAACATCCTCTTATTAACAGTGTATTGTCCTGTCTGGGAGCTCTTCATTTTCTCAGTTATTTATCAATCCAGGGCAACCTGGATTTCATAGATTCAAAACCTTTTGGCCTCTTTCTGGTAGCTACTGGTTTATTTTAGGAGTGCAACACTTATTTAGTTCACTGAGATAGTGTGCTACTTTCAGCCAAATTTAGGGTATATGCATTACTGAATATTGGCTAAAAAACAAGAACAAGAAACAAGAACAAGCCCAACATCCTGGCCCATATATTCAGCCATCTTGACCAAACAAGCTTGGTTAGAAACTTGTTGATTGTGTATTCCATTTCCTTTCTTTTTCACCAGTATATGGAGTCCCTGGGAAATACGAAAGTCAATAGAATATATGAAGGAAATCTTGGAGAATATAAAAAACCTGCAAGAGATTGTTCAAAGTAAGTTAGATTACCACATGTTTTTCTGACATAATGTTCCCACTTGCATCTAGAAAGGCACTTAATGACAAATATTTTTTCGTTCTGACAGGGAAGAAAGAAAAAAGTACATTGTCACGAAATACGTAGATCAACGATTCTTCATCCCTGAGGAAAGCACAGATAAAGAACTTCAAGAAGTTATGAAAAATAGACCACCGGGAGAAGGGGAAGATGAGCTGTTTAACGACTCTGCAGAGGTATGATGACCAGGAACAACAACGTAGACCCCATGCAATGCATTTATATGGAGAAAAGTTGTCATGGGAAGAAGGCACACCCTCCTACCCAAGCTACTTTGGGCGAACCAACGTTTCCTACACTTCCTTGCAAAAATTGGTGAACCATTTAAAACAGAAGCAAAAAGTTCCCTCGGCTAGAGGGTTGAACCGCCGAGTGGGTCACCCATTTGCGACAGTAGGGTCACCCTCATAGCTGGTCCAACATTTCTCCATGTAAAGTAAAACACTTTGGCTGGCTCAGCCAGGAGATTCGGTGACCCCTACGAGAGACCGGCAGATTGTTGCTGTCAATCTTGGTGCTGAGTATAATCTAGGATCCAGGTGGTTTCTCATATATGAATTATTAGAATGTAGAATTTTTCTTAAATCTCAACTCTGGTAAGTAAAAGGCCAACTTTATTTTCTGTGACATAACCGACACTATGCTCTCATTTCTATTAGTTCCTAGATTTTCTGCAGCAGAGATCGATTCAAGGATCTAGTCCCGTTTGTTTAGTGGATGACTGCAAGGTACAAAAACCTGCTTTATTTTAAGCACCAATGTATTTAGCTCAAAGTACTAATTGTGGTACTGGTTGAAGTAATTATGACGAGTGACCCACAATAACCTAATGGTATAGGTTAGCCAAGAAGCTATCACAAATCTCTATTTTTTTAGGGAGCTTAAGCAACAACGCGGGCGACGGGCAGTGAAACATCTCTGAAATACTGAATTCACATGGCTCCAAACTTTATCACGACTATTCTACCTCGTCCTTGTTCAAATGTGCGCGAATTTTTCTAGAGCTGAATTCCAAAGAGCTGTGCCTAAGTTATGAAAAAGAAAGAGAAAATCGTTTTCTTGCATTCATGTCTTCTATAAAACGTGAAATTAGGTATTTTTTTGCATCTTAGTAGTGTAACAACGGCAAAAAAGCGTGCAACACGTGCCAAGTTGTTGTTTTGCTTATTCTAAACCTGTTCCTTTTTTGCCGTTCTTGTTGCTGTTGCCGTCATTGTTGCTCGAGCTCGTTACTGTTCATGCAATTCTGCCCTCTCATTGTTTGACAGTTTTCGTCTTTGGTCCTCAACATACCAGTGCTTACTTTAAATTTATGGAAGTGGTGCCTGTTAGCCACCCCCCCCCCCACCCCCCTCACCTTCCAGACCTCAAACATCTGAGTTCTTCCTTTCCATACCAGTAATCCATGAGGTTATTGTTTGTGCATTTTAACAACATCACTCATGTTATTATCAGACCATCTGCAAAGATTATAATTCCTCTCATTCAGATATCATTTCGATCTTGTGTTTTCTATCAGGAATGTGCGTCATCCTCAAATTGTGTTCACAAGGGACAAACAAATGGACAGTTCGCATCATCTCAGTTAATTGTCACACCTGCGGAAGGCGAAGAAAGCGAATGTTGACTTGGAATGGCAGTGTTGGGCTATTAACATAAAAATCAATACTTATCTCATATATTATTTTTTGGGCTTAAAACTGTGAAAGAATACTTTGAAAATATGTGAAGGTGGATGGAGAGATCCGTAGAGCAACCAAGCCTGAAACAAACTTTTCTCTGATTGCACAATAGTATTATTACCATGATGTGAGTCATCAAATTTGCACTCACCATGCATCATGTCAAACGAAGCGATTTCTCTCTCAGAGAGGAAACAAACCTCCAATCATGAGGCAACTACATGTATTTAAGTCCCTCTCAGTGACGCATGACAGCTGTTAACTGAAATAATCCAAAAATCAAGGTGGCAGTTACACGGTGACTCTTATGAAAATGGCTCATGCTAGCTAGACCTTCCACAAAGATTTTTCTGGTCATGGGAAATTCAAGCACAAAGATGATGTTTTTGTTCCGTCCCTCGTCACACTTGGTTTTTGTACATTATTCACACTCTCTGCATATTTGGTCAACTTGTCGAGACTCATATATTATGTTTCAATTTTGTAGTGTTATTTTACTGTTCCCTGGAAAAAAGATTATGTTTGAACACATTGTAGGTGACTATTGCTTGAAATTTATTCATTACAAGTTCAAGTATAATTTAAAAAACCAACATTTACCATACTTGTGGACAGGATCGAGCGGCAAGGAATATCGGAATTACAAAATGATTTTTTTTTCAATTGTGGAGTAAAATCTAACGGTGCATGAACCAAGAAATGGCAAAAAAAATAAGGGAGGCGGATGAAAAAGAGGAAGATAAGAGATTAATCAATCTTTTCCCCTCTCCGCTTTCAAGCCATTTCAAACTGTCTGATTATGTGACGTGGGTGAGTGAATTGCAATTATTACAATATTAACCTGTATTGATAAAAAAATCAGTCACCATGAGTGTGTTTTAGACATAAAATGTTATTTATTTGCTTGCAGATCTAATAATTAGTTTATAATTCAAGATAATGAATGTAACATTTTACTCCATGTAAATGAGTGGGCAGTGACCATGTATGGTTGTGTAAATTATAATAAGAAGTGTTATAATAAACTGGCGGTGATATATAGTACAGTGTACGTGTGCACTAGCACTTTGATAAAAGTGAGCGAATAACTTCTTGGATGGTCTTTTTTTCAGTCAAAACCGGCGAAATCTTTCGTTCTAAGAGGTTTTGGTTGTTTTGTATATAGGAGACCTGATTCTAATTCCTAAGATTTTTAAAAAATGTTCCGCAGATTTCCGAAGGCATTCCGGGCCATCTGTGAAATCAGAAAGTACGATCATCAGTTCTCGCATCGGGTTAATTTTCTTGTGATCCACTAGATATGTTTGTCAAAAATGTATTGTGTAAACGGTGGTACAGTATAGCTTAATTCCCACCTCCCCCACCCAGACGTAAGAATGTCACAATAGGTCTGCAAGCTTGATCATGAAAACACTGGTGTAATACTTGCAAAACTCCAGGAATTTTTCCAGGGTGCAACTATGAAAGTCCCAGAACCTGGAAATGGAACATTCCACTGATACAACAGTAAACCATAAACTGGTTGGTCCACATCATACTACGTCTTGCTATAACAACATGTGAGCCTACACGTACTGTACCAGGGTATATCTGGGGCGCGGGGTGTGCATGGTGGGGTGGTTTTCTAATACAACTGGTATTCTGCAAAAAAAAAAAAAAAAAAAAAACTATGTGGTTTATTGGTAGATTCTTGTTCAGGGTGCACCCCTCCTAAAAAAAATCCTGGATCCGCCTCTGTGTACTGTATAGTTGTCAAAATAATATAATGGGGGGAATGGGACCATTTAACGCCTGTTGATCAAAAACACTTGCATTCTTGTTAACAAAATAATCATAACAACTGGAATATTTTTATCTGAACAACAGGGAATTGGGGGAATTTTTATCCTTGCAGAGTGCTTTTTGACAGACTTTAAAAGAATCAGTCTCAAAATTATGTCAGTCTCAAGTAAAATTTTATTAATGGGAAGGATTTATCAATACCTTTTTGTGAAACAAAGTTCTCTTAAGATAAGATTTTAATTTTTTTTACAATAAATTATACAATATTTGCTCCTCTCAATGTATGATACATGCAGTCCACCCTCTATCAACAATTCCCCTCTGCCACCTCGCCTATGCCCCAATATTACATACAAATTCTCCGGTCTCATCTCCTTACATTTCCTTACAAATTAGTTGAGAGAATTTTGAAAAATTAATGATAAAAGCTTTTCTCCTTCGGTGATCATGTCATTCTCATAATCTTTTCTCTTTAAACGTTAGTCATGGTCCCACTTAAAAGCAAAAACTGCAAAAAAAAAAGTTTCTTTTCTTCTTTCCTGAACTCAAACAAAGCAACTTTCCCGCAAATGGGACAATGAACTTGCTCCAGTCTCAATGTTGAGTTGAGAATGCAAGACAATATTTTGAGAACCCAAGGGCATGGGAGAAAAAATTCTGAGCTGCAAATTACAAGAAATTTTTACAATATTCTCAAAGATTCTTGTTTTTCAATTCCAAAGCATTTACACAAGTTCTTTGTAAAATGTTCCTTAGCTTTCCTTTACTCTAGTGTTTTTTATAATATTATTATTTGTCCATGGTGTGGTCCCCTTTATCTTTCTATGATGCATAAAAACCCTCTTCAGCATGTTCATTAATTAAAGGGTCAAGAGTCATTTGGGATCTTTTTAGGCTTCTGCCACAAACCCCTTAAATAATACAAAAGTTATTTCAATTTTTTAAACAATATCAAGTCCACTTTGCATTTTTCTTTGAATTCAAAGACCAGCATTCTTCCTGGCAGTGTTGAGGAAAACAAATAAAGCACTACAAAAAATTTTTCACATGCAGATTTTCAAAAGAAAGTTAGAAAGCTAGAAATGCATCATTTGGAAACCTGAAACAATTCAATTTACCACAATAATAGTATTACAGTTTGTCTTTAAAATGCTTCCTTTTATCACAGCTCTTTAAAGTTTACATTAAGAAAATCTTTCGGCATGCACATACTTGAGCTTTAGATGTCGAGCATCTGATACAAGCCAGCTATAACAAAGTTAGATAACAGATAGGCACTTTCAGGTGAGCAGGAATTTAATATGCCTGGGTAGACTGCCGCCTACCCAGGAGAAATGGCTAGGCTACTAAGTAGAGCTGATGATGTTGTTAATACAAGCAAGATAACCTTAAAAATTTATTATTATTATTATCAGAAAAAGATAGCAATTTGCCTCTCTTCATGTACTTGTAAGCTGAACAGTATCTCCTAACTCTTTATGCCCCAAGATCCACATACAAATTCTCCAGACTGATCTCTATACATTTTTTTAAGAATAGTTGAGAGAATTTGGTTTCAGATCAAAGCATTCTACCTTTGGTAATCAATTTAGTAATTCTCATAACCTTTACCCTTGATGATCTGCTGTTGTTGTTAGGAGAAAATTGATGTTGGTCAAGCAGGAGCTAAGCAGCGCTGTCACTGCAGAGCACAGCCAACTCTCTCTTAATGGTTGGTCACCTAGGTAAGATGGCCCCTACCTTTCGTAAATCCTTTCACTTGTTTCTATAAGATGGACATCACTCCCAAATGGACACTTAGTGCTGGTCCCAACCAAGGCTGCTATATGGGACTCTATATGGGACTCTGGAAGTTGTAATTTGAACTTTATACTTGAGAAGGTACGAAAATAAACAAAATACGATCTAAATTACATTTTTTGAAAAAAAAATTGCAATTTTGTGTTTGTGTTGTGTGTTTTACTTGGCTTCCAAATGGCTCTAGAAGTGAAGAGACAGTAAAACACCCAACACAAACACAAATTGAGTCATTTTTATCGTGAATTTTGTTTTTAAAAAATGAAATTTAGATTGTTTTTTTGTTTATTTTCATATGTTCTGTTACAAAAGCCAAATTCTGACAAACTCCCATATAGAGTCTGGGCTGCCTGTGGTACCAAAGGTGTTTGTCTTAGAGAGTTGACTGTATATTACTATATGTAATTTATTAGAAGGTTAGGAATAAAACAGCTAAGAAATTCTTTTTGTTCTGTTTCCCTATGTTTTCAATGACAGTAGCAGGTGGTCATGCCCAAATTAGACAGGAGAAATCCCCAGCCCCTAGTGACAGCCCTATTTAGGATTCCTTAATGTTAATTCTCTGGTAACAGGCCATCTAAAACAATAACAGCTGAACATGAATATCCTTAAAGATCATTCACTCAGTATCACTGCTTATAAATTTCACTTTTGCACCCTCAAGATACAGTTTAAACTCACACTCAAGGTTCTCATTTGAGGTAATTGCCCACAGACACGCTGAATAATGAATGCAGTTCACAGATCGGACCACTGATGGCTGGCAATTACCCTTGCCAGCTATACAACTGAAGACTGGGTTCCACGCGATGCACGGTCTTCCAGAACAGTAAACCTGGGTTTGCCAGAGGCTCCCAACTTTGCTTCTTTCAAACCGCACATGGACAAACCCCAAAAAATCACTTGCAAGGTTATTTACTCCATCAGGGTGAAGAAGTTGATCAACAACAACAAAAGTTCTGTCGGACACACCTTGTACCAGAGGCACACCCCTACTGCTACACTGTCTGTCAAGTTCCCTCAACGATTCTGAAACTACCTCAGTTAGATATTCACTCGGTAATTTCTCATAATTAAGTTCAAGCACTCTCGAGTTGGTTATTGATCCTTGTGCCCGGCAAATCTTGGCATGCTCACACAAGACAACTGGCTTGTTCTCTAAATCCATTGCTGTCACACATGGAGGATAATCACAGGAATACATGTCTTTCATCTTGCTGGATGGTTCATTTTGTTGACACCACACAAAGCACCTATGATCTGGACCCACTTTGCTTCTCCGTACAGAGAATACAGTGACAAATGAGTTTGATGGAATTTGCAACTGAACAGCTTGACGCAAGAGTTTTCGGTTGCGCCTAAATGGCGGATTTGCTTCATTTAACAAAAACTTGCAGTGCTTACACACCTTGGAACGACAACCAATAAGACACTGGCATTTCTGACAGGGCATTACACCTCGTCGAGTAGCATTTCCAGGAAGCATCCTGAAAGAATGTACAAACATATTAATTCTGTTCAAAATTATGTGTAAATTCATGCCTGGCAGCTTTACATTATTATTATTATTATTATTGACAGAATGTTTATTAATCATGTGTAAATTCAAGTAAATTCTCGCCTGAGAGTTTTAAAATTTATTGACAGAACTTTTTAAGCTTTCGTAAACTTGATATTTAAATTATCTGTTACCTTAGTTTGTTAGTATTTAAGGACTTTTTCATTTTAGTAGTTTCATAGGGCCATAGGGCAGAATACAGTACAACTGTAATATTTATGCACCCTATTGAAATAAAGTGTCTTCTTTCTTAATTACTAAGACCACAGAGTGGCCAGCATTTACTATCAGTTGGTAATTAAACATGATCACCAAGTGAAGAAGAGTTGTATTTTTCAAACAAATTTCCCTGATCGTTACAATAGCAAATGCATGAAGAGCAGCATTAAGATAGGCAGTTCTTCAATTCCTATCATCCCAGCCAAAGCATTACCCAATCCTGTAATCCTGATGTTTCTTTTACGAAATGTTGGATCACATTTTTCAGCAGGTCAAAAATTTGTCTGGTGCTACGTCAACGTAGGCTAGGATGGACATTATTTTGTGCCAGTCCAACAGTGTTAGTAATACTTACAGAGAGAGATAACAGTATCACTTGCACAAAAAAAGATAATTTGTCATTTCTGGGATCATAAAAGGCAAGTCTTCCTACCTGAGTTGTGATTCTGCAGACTTCACTTCACCAACAGTGTTAGCAATTTCCTCCTCTACCGCACAATCCTCACTGCGCTGAATTTCTACTGTAATAGTGCACTCATCAATAGTCTTGGGTCTTATTTTCCTGTACTTTGCTTGACTTGACAGATCATCCTCAATAACAACCTGCTTTGCTTTAATTCCCAAGGGGCTTGATGTGCTTGTGTTGGGCTCAGCATTGTCGCTGGCAATGTTTAAAGAGGGTCTTGCTTTCTTACCATTCTGCTGAGCAAGATGTCCCAAAAACAAAGCAACTGAATTAGCATCATATGCATTTTCAGGAGATCCCACCGCACCAACTGCTCCTACTGAATTTCCTTTAACTTCTTTCACCTCTACATCACCAGCCTGTTCCTCTTGCTGATTAACATCTGAATTCTCTGTATCTACCTTATCAGCTTGCTCCTCAGAATCTTGTGCGACATATAAACTACTACTTTGATTTTGCACCAAAAGAGTTTGAATTAACTCCTGCAGGCTAGTGTGGTAGGTCTTCTTCCCAGCCTCAATCACACCACTGTTTTGCTGGGATGTTTCTGCTTCCATTCCCTCAATAGCATTTACACTTGACTGGGTTCCTTGTACAAAATTATCTGCTGTAACAGCCTCAACGTCTTCTGTTACATTCTTAGAAATAACATCACTGGTAGAGGACACTGAAACTTCTGCAGTGTTACCAATTGGAGATGTTGGCATATCAGGTTCACTGTCCATCAGTACCATGTTCATGTCAACATTAGATGAACTCTGTTCACTGTCATTGTTGGGTTCTTTACTTGTTTGAGATTTCCTTGACCTTCTTTTCTGTTTGCCAGGAGAACAATACTTACACTGCTTGGCACGATTACCAATTTTGTTTGTACAGAGAGGACAGGTTTTGACACCTCTTCTTGTGGCATTGATCTCCAGCAATCTAAAATATTCCAGTGTAATAACATCAGCAACAGCCATCAGCTTGTGAGGAAAAAACTCAACCAGTATTTTGGTAACTGTCAAGTCATCCAAAAGTCATCTCAACCAAAGCTGTCACCCAAAACAAGAGTTACAAGTTTATGTCACCTGAAATCCTGAGTTATGTTGTCTGAAATTTCATCAAGTGTTTACTGGGGTTTTCAATGACAAGCAAACACCAAAGTTCAAAAGCCAACCATCCTTGACATTATTTGCTGCCGTCAATCACCTTAGCGGACCTCTCAGAAAACGGAAGTTTACTTAGTTGAAGAGGTCATGGCTTGTGATATGTGATTGGTGGATTTTGATCCTTTTTGTGTTTTGTTGTGCTTGAGGATTCATCGTTTGTGACCATAATTATGATTGACAGCAGCAAAAATGCAATTGTGAATTTAGCTTTTAAACTTCAGAGTTTGCATGTCACCGAAAAGCGCAGTAAGCTGAAAAAGGCAGTGTGTGTAATTTGATGCACCCTAATGAGGGAAACAAGTGCAATAACAGGAAGTGTGTCAGGATGTTAGGATGTTGTTGAACATGATAAAATGTCAGGGAACAAAACTCAGTTTTTCAGGCAACATAACTCCAAGCGAGATAACTTTTCGACAACTTGACCATACACCAGTGCTTTACGAGTTAAAAAAAAACCCATGTTCTTTAAGGACCACATACTGAACTGAATTTCAATAACATGTATAATATTTCAGGTAATTTTTATTTTTCTTTTGTTTCAACTTCATTAGCATATAATAACATACCCAAAAACAAAAGAAAATCAAAAATTGCCTGACATAAAAAATTAACTACAACATATACAGTATGTTGTGGTTCAATTTTATCTTTGGTTCAATTTCTTTCTTTTGTTTTTTGGTATGGTAATTTATAGTAAAGAAAACAAAAATTAAATCAAGGATAAAATTGAACCACAACACATATGTTGTACCTCATATGATTTATTGACTCCAGCTCTCTGGCTAGATGCAGTTGGTCTAACAGTTCAGGTTATACAGCCTCAATAGTGATAAAAAAATATCAGCTGACTTGTGAAATACTATACTGTTGTATAACTTTTAATTAGATCAACTGTGTAGACTTGGCAAAGTTAAGAGCGCTAGCCTATCGATGAAATCCTTTAGTCGGATAAAAGCAAATACAGCCAATTTTACTCTTAATCTGTGCGTGCTTCTAATATTACGAGTCTGAATAAAAATCCGACACTTAAGCAGTGTAGTAAATGGGAAAATTTGCCATTACCTTCCAAAGGGACTGCCCTCACCATCACCTTCAACCAACCTCTCACTCTCGTTTCCCGAGTCTGCAGGCTTCGGCTCAATTTTTCGTAGTCCTTGAGCTTGTGCACCGCTAAGAAATTTCCCGGTGCTTCCCGCAGCTGCGCCAGCAGAAGATCCCGTCAACAGTTTGGTAAAAACTTCGCTTCCATTTGAGGAAACAGAAGTGTTCGTAGTCAATAACTTTACGATTACCTGCTCCTCCCCACTACCTAGAATGGTGTTTTCTAGGATCAGAGTGGGATTACTGTCTTGTTCTGTGGTTTGTTCGCTCCACATGTCTGTCATCTGGCTCAGCTGTCTTTCCTCGTCATGTAAACAATTCGCTTCCCTCAAGCTTTTCAAATATTTCACTGGCTTTAGACTTAAAATGTTAGCACCAAACGATTTCTTAAATCCTCGAATGCCTGGAGAGCGATTTACAGTAAAAAATAATGGAGTATAGTCTGTTTTTCGTCAGGCGCAAAAGCCAAGAGAATACAAGATGGTGGAGGATTGATTGCTCGGGGAAGTGCAACGCCAGCGATGCCTGCCGCTGATTTCACCACGTGATTCTTAACTGGGGGCCCGCGGTGCGTGCAAAGCGAAAGCGTATAACCAGGGCTCCCTGTTAAAAAATGAACATGGTCAGGAGGAGCGTGACTTGTTTAATTTTCTTTGAAGCTTGGTTAAATAAAACAATGCCGCAACTCATTACGATATAATTTTAAATCATTCTTCAGGGCCATGAGCTTATAAGCCTGTCCGGGCCAGTAAAGTTATGGAAGACACTAACGACGTCGCATTACATTGACTGAAGGCGAGGGCAACAAACTCTAACGCCTGTTACTGGGCAACTTGGCGTGATCTATAACTGATTTATTTTTGGGCAAACTTACTCGAACAACCTAACGTATGTTCGGTTTAAATTGTTCTTAAGTTACAGTTAAGAGTGTTGAACATCGTTCTTTAGTGTTCGTCAGGCGATTCTCACTTAGATAACGATTATAACCTTCTTTCTTACCTTCCATTGACAAATGGAACCTATTTTGCTTTTAAAGTAAAGAACACTGCTCCCCTTTACTTCAACGTTTCCTTGGAACGAAGCTAATAGGGAGTCTTAAGCAACGACAGTAAAGGCAAAGAGAAAGGCAAAAAAGCAGTAGGTTTAGATTAGCAAAACAACAACTTTGAACTTGCATTACGATTTTTTTATATATTTCTTTGCCGTCGTTACATGACTACAACGTGAAAGTGCCTAAATTCACGTTTTGTCGAGGACGGGAATACAAGAGAACAACTTTCTTTTTCTTTTCCTGAATTTTGATACAATCCTTTAGAATTCAACTTCGAAAACATTTGCCAACATTTGACGACGTAAACGAGATGGAATAAGCGCGATAAAGTTTGAAGCAGCGCGAATTCACTTTTTCAGTGACGTTTTCGTAGTCGTCGCGGATTAAGCTTCCTCATGAAGGATATCGAGAAAAATCATCAAACACAATTCAATCGGACGAAATGTTAACCAACAAACAAGGAGGGTCAACTTAGATACATAACTAACATGGTGTACCCTGGCTTCTTGCACATTAACTCGAGAAATCCCTATCCTTTTTATTTTTGTATTAAAATGAAGCCTGAACTGAAAAAGCACCGCTTTTCGGCAAATACACCCTGTCAGGCCAATATAAGGGGTAACTCCCAAAAGAACTCGCCTACTCGAGCAAATTGTATCGCATTGAGTAGCAATATAAAATCAAATCGACTGTGACAGCACTTCCTATCGGCTAAAATCATGGAAAACCGCACTACGAATGCTATTGTAACTGTTGTAATCAGACCCTTGATGTGCTGCATGGCCGACTGGCTCAGTACACACTATGCAAAATAACACTTTTCAAATATCTCTTTCTACTTGCTTTTGAGAGGAAATACTCGTCTTCGGGTCAGTAAGTAAAGTAGACGTTGCCTAACTTGTAAGTGGTACTTAAACGAATTTCTTACGACCTTATGTGAAGTTGTTGAAGCTTCCGACTATATCAGGAGCACCCAACGAGAAAATAGTTCAAAACCACTTAAACATAGCATTGTTAAACGTATAGATATAGGCATATTTTTATCCCCCCAAAATTTTTCATCTGTTCGGATTTCCTAGCTGAAGTAGTGATCCGAAAAACATAGGGATCAAACTGACCTTTTCAAAAATTTCAGCCAGAAAAAAGGCTCCCGAAAATTCTAGATGACCTTTTTAGGGTAAAAGTCCGTTAAAAATTTTTCATCTGTTCGGATTTCCTAGCTGAAGTAGTTATCCGAAAAATATAGGGATCAAAACTGACCTTTTCGAAAATTTCAGCCAGAAAAAAGGCTCCCGGAAATTCTAGATGACCTTTTTAGGGTAAAAACCCGTTAAAAATGGGCAGTTACACCATTTTTTAGATGTTGGAAAATCCTAGGAGAGACAGGCAAGCAAGAAATTTTACAACAAATGCTCCGAAAATTCTAGATCTGAAATCGTCTTCCGAAAAGATATTTTCCGAAAATTGACGTTGGGTGCCCTTGACTATATGTCTATATATAATAGATTTTGCAAGATACTATATGTAAATGTAAATAAATGTTGTGATATCTCAATGACACGGGAACGTCGAATTTATGATTTGGGGACGAAATCAAAGTGGGACGGGAATATAGAGAACCGGAGCAGCCGCGAGGTTCTTTCTTCAGGTGCGTTTCCTTTGTGGATCGAATCAATACTGAGGCATATTTTCACAACACTTTGTCTTTATTTTTATCTCAGACAAGAAATTTCTATAGATCTAATATAATTTGTCAATTTGTTCGTGACTGATTTGTAAGCCTGTATCTTGGATAATTGGTTGGTAAGGACTGAATAAACCGCGTTGGAGCTTGTGTATGAAATTTCGGCCAAAGGGGTGAGTCGTTTAACACTGTACTGTAAACCACCTGGAAGTTAATTTAAGCAGATAGCGTACATAAAAAAACATGGAGGTATCGATAAAGGGAACTTACCTAACGGGCTAAGAAATACAGTGCTCTCCACTCATTCCGGTGTAGTCAGATTTATAAAAAAAATCTGCCCACTCTCAAGGCCTGCGGATCGAAAACTTCCACGCCCAAGCCTACGCCTACGCACCAATTTCTCACGTCTTGCATGTGGAAAAATAAAAACAAATAGCAGACACATTTTTGAAAATATATGAAATAACAAAAAAAATAAACTCCAACCAATGAGAGAAAAACAGCCTATGCAAATAACTTTACTTGCACTTGGCACAAAACTGAAGCTGAGCTCTGGAACTGAGAAGATGAGAACCCTCGGTAATCTTTTATCGGATTTTTAAACGTTTGCGGACGACGTCTTCGGATATGATCAGGTCCTCTGCGAAAGTCCTGGCAAAGGTCTAAGTATTTCATGCCTTTGCAATTGACTGAAAAAAGTAAGGTATAAAATTTTGAAAAATTATTAAAGAAAGTTATGTCTAGAGGAGGGAACGCTCATTTACTAGATTGTCCAAGGAACTGTGAAAAGAGGGCATGAGGGAGTATTCTTTGGAAATGTTGGTGGGGGTGTACCATTCGATTCTCCTGAATCATTACCCAATTTTAGACTGTTGACCTATGTTTCACACTCTTATTTGGACCTGACCTCTGAAAGTTGGTCCGCGAAAACAGTGTAAAATTTCTTCTTGTAATATGAATTCGTTACAAAACACATTGGTAACGAGAATAAAGGACATTGGCCGTTTTTATACAAGATCGGGAGGACGCGTTATCCGTCAAGACGGATAAAAAGTCTATACTAAGGACACAGACCAAGTTCGTCTAAACGGATAACGTATCCTCAGTAAAATAAACGGCCATTATCATGCAGGATAAATCTAATTGATACTTCAACAAATTATCGCTACTGCTTTTATAGGAAACGTACAGGGACAACAAATGAGAATCTGAATTTTGATATTAAGGTTTAAAGGGGTTAAGTAGAATTTGACACTGAACATTGCTGTTTATACGCTGTATTCCCATAGCCGTGTTCCCAAAACTGCCCAGAACTAATCCGATAGTGTCTCAATCAACAGGCTAGGGGCGGCACATAGATTTTCCAGCGGAGTACGCTTCGGCGCTTACCCTCCACCCCTTTTCCCCTACCCCCTTATATAAACAACAGCAGGATCCTGACGACTGTCATCGAGCGCGGGGGAGTTGTGATGTCCGTTGTTCATGTTGTTTTTTTTTCTTTTTTTGGGCATGACTAGTACTGTGTCGTGTGCAGGCGGGGAACTGGATTTCCTTTATAAACTTGTTACAAGAACGTTTCATGTTCTCCCACATACATAACATTTCCATCTGTTTTGGTCGGGTCAGCTAACTCGGCGGGGAGGACCTCTAGCAAGGGGTCGGGAGTTTTCTCCATATAACTGGCCAGTCGTCTATCCGGCTTGTGCACCTGATACATTGTTGCGCATTTTAATTTATGTATTTTGAAGTTTCAAATTTTTTTACAGCATATTTTGCATTCATAGCTAGCCCCCGCCACAACGGCGCAATATCCGACAATATTTCTATTCTGCACTTCCTACATTAACAAGATATCACCTATTTCGGTCCCTAATGTTTTGTTTCTGTCAGTTATTTTTCCTTGCGGTATCTCTGTTTTGTCTGTTTCGGTAATAAAAGTTAGAACGTGAGTGAAGTTGAAATCGAATGAACCGTAACGCTGCTTGACGCCAAACAGTAAACAGCCGTCCGATCTTCTGCGTCTTTCGTGCGGCAGGACCCAAATCACATTAAGTTTTTCCGGAGATCGTATTTCACCTTGAAGAGCATCGTTTCTTGGAATTAAAGCCAATATTCAACATGAAAAGGACAACAGCATCGGAGTGATCAAGCGTAGAAATTCGGAAAGGAAGGGCTTTTAAAATTCACTTTGATTATGTGGCGAGACAGAATTTTGTAACAGTCAGTGAATAAAAACATAAGACAGATCTCGGAGCATTGTGTGAGTGTTTGTCACCTCTGAGACTAATACTGACACTGTTTTGAGACATTCTCTTCCCTCTGATTGGTTTAAGTCGATTTAATCGCTCTTTTAATTTGTTTTGAGTTGCTGATTTGACACCACACAATCAACGTTCGCGGCTATTTTAAGTCGCTGCGGGGTTAAATTTCCATGGCATTCAAATGACGAGAAAGACAAAAAATTCAAAGAACGATAAATTTGAGAAACAGAGCATGAAAGAAAAGTGTCTTTGTTCGAGGTGTTTCGAAGGTTTTTAACTTTTAAGAAG